CATACTTTACAAGATTTTACCCTTTCTATAAGATTCTTGCTTTTTCCTCAGGTCTCTCTCTGGTCTCTCTTTGGTCTCTCTCTGGTCCCATTTCCAGTCTCTCTCTGGCCTCTTTCTAGTCTCTCTCTAGTCTCTCTCTGGTCTCTCTCTAGTCTCTCTATTGTCTCTCTCCAGTCTCTCTCTAGTCTCTCTCCGGTCTCTATTTGGTCTCTCTTTGGTCTCTCTATTGTCTCTCTCCAGTCTCTATTTGGTCTCTCTTTGGTCTCTCTCTCTAATCTTTCCCTGGCCTCTCTATGGTCTCTCACTGGTCTCTCACTGGTCTCTCTCTGGTCTCTCTCTGGTCTCTCTCTGGTCTGCAGCCGGGACTATAATTCCTGGAGTTGTATTGTGTTTGTTTCACGGCACAACAACAGACCTGTGTTTTGCCGATGAGTGGCTGAGTCCTTTATCTGCTCGTGCTGATCCCGGACCTGAGTCAGCGACACCGTCCTGATCCTACCCACAGAAAACTCTGCATAAACACTGTTGATAAGGTGTCAAAAGCTTACGGCTGTCACTTAACTCCAGAGCTCGCAGGGGCAGTCACTTTGACGGCATTCAGATTTTTCATAACTTCTGACTTTTTCTGTTTCTCTGTGAGTTTTATTTCTTATAAAGTTAGCTGTTTGTCTTGACGAGCAAAGAGTGCTGCCTTTTGACTTCCACCGGAGAATATCAAGTGCTGGTTACCATAGCAACACACTGTTTGATACCAGGAGTTAGCTTTAGCCTATTTTTGAGAGATGGACGCAGAGCAAACATGGACTCTGATTTATTTCTTAAAGCTGAGCTACGTCGCAATAAAATATTTCTGGACAGAAATGTTCATAGATGGTCCAGGTCTCTGGTCTATAGATGGTCCAGGTCTTTGGTCTATAGAGGGTCCAGGTCTCTGGTCTATAGAGGGTCCAGGTCTTGGTTTCTGGTCTTGGTCTCTGGTCGGTTGTTGGTTCAGGTCTTGGTATCTGGTCTCTAAACCTGGTCTTGGTCTCTGTCTGATCTTGGTCTCTGGTCCAGGTCTTGGTCTCTGGTCTCTGGTCCAGGTCTTGGTCTCTGGTATCTGGTCTCTGGTCTCTGGTCTCTGGTCTCTGGTCTCTGGTCTCTGGTCTCTGGTCTCTGGTCTCTGGTCTCTGGTCCAGGTCTTGGTCTCTGGTATCTGGTCTCTGGTCTCTGGTCCAGGTCTTGGTCTCTGGTTTCTGGTCTCTGGTTTCTGGTCTCTGGTCTCTGGTTCAGGTCTTGGTTTCTGGTCTCTGGTCCAGGTCTTGGTCTCTGGTCTCTGATCTCTGGTTTCTGGTCTCTGGTCTCTGGTCTCTGGTCTCTGGTTCAGGTCTTGGTTTCTGGTCACTGGTCTCTGGTCCAAGTCTTGGTCTCTGGTCTCTGGTCTCTAGTCTCTGGTCTCTGGTCCAGGTCTTGGTCTCTGGTCTCTAGTCCAGGTCTTGGTCTCTGGTCTCTAGTGTCTGGTCTCTGGTCTCTAGTCTCTGGTCTCTGGTCTCTGGTCCAGGTCTTAGTCTCTGGTCTCTGGTCTCTGGTCCAGGTCTTAGTCTCTGGTCTCTGGTCTCTGGTCTCTGGTCCAGGTCTTAGTCTCTGGTCTCTGGTTTCTGGTCTCTGGTCTCTGGTCCAGGTCTTGGTCTCTGGTCTCTAGTCTCTGGTCTCTGGTCTTGGTCTCTGGTCTCTGGTCCAGGTCTTGGTCTCTGGTCTATAGTGTCTGGTCTCTGGTCCAGGTCTTGGTCTCTGGTCTCTAGTCTCTGGTCTCTGGTCCAGGTCTTAGTCTCTGGTCTTGGTCTCTGGTCTTGGTCTCTGGTCGCTGGTCTCTGGTCCAGGTCTTAGTCTCTGGTCTTGGTCTCTGGTCTCTGGTCTCTGGTTCAGGTCTTGGTTTCTGGTCTCTGGTCCAGGTCTTGGCCTCTGGTCTCTAGTCCAGGTCTTGGTCTCTGGTCTCTAGTCTCTGGTCTCTAGTCCAGGTCTTGGTCTCTGGTCTCTAGTCTCTGATCTCTAGTCCAGGTCTTGGTCTCTGGTCTCTAGTCTCTGATCTCTAGTCCAGGTCTTGGTCTCTGGTCTCTAGTCCAGGTCTTGGTCTCTGGTCTCTAGTCTCTGGTCTCTAGTCCAGGTCTTGGTCTCTGGTCTCTAGTCTCTGATCTCTAGTCCAGGTCTTGGTCTCTGGTCTCTAGTCCAGGTCTTGGTCTCTGGTCTCTAGTCTCTGGTCTCTGGTCCAGGTCTTAGTCTCTGGTCTTGGTCTCTGGTCACTGGTCTCTGGTCCAGGTCTTGGTCTCTGGTCTCTAGTCCAGGTCTTGGTCTCTGGTCTCTAGTCTCTGGTCTCTAGTCCAGGTCTTGGTCTCTGGTCTCTAGTGTCTGGTCTCTGGTCCAAAGGCTTCTACGTGTTTGTTATTATGTGTTTCCCCATTTTTGATTTGATTCTCTGATCTGTTGTTGAGCAATTGACAACTTCGTAGAGTCCTCCAAGACACACAGATACATCTAAATGAGTGGACCATTTGTGGATATTTTGTAAGACCATTTTTCAAGGCAAAGCAGGTTTATTTGTATGGCACAGCTTATACTCAAAGAATCTCAAAGTGCAGCACAAAACAAGAAACAAAACAAGGCAGAAATAATCACAGTAAAATCCTTCATTTGTTGCAGCTGAACGGAGCTATATTCAGAAGAAGCCTGTCTCACGTTTTCAGGAAGACGTTTAGTCCTGACTCTGGGACCAGCAGGAGTCAAGTCCCTGGAGAGGCTCAGTTGAATCTGCTCGCTCTCTCCTCTCTCATTCCTCCCTCTCTGCTCCCTTCTCTCTCCTCTCTTCTCGCTTTCTCCTCTTTTCTCTCTGCTCTCCTCAGTCTCTCTTCTCGTTTCCTTCTCCCCCTCTCCTCTCTTCTTTCTCGCCTCTCCTCACTGTCTCCTTGCTCTCTCCTCTCTCCTTTTTTTCTCCTCACTCTCTCCTCTCGTCCCTCTCATCTTTCTCTCCATTCTTCACGCTCTCTCCTCTCCCCACTCTCACCCTTGTCCCATCTCCTCTCTTCTCTCTCCCCTGTCCCCTCTCTCCTCTCTCCCATCGCTCCTCTCTCCTCCCTCCTCTCTCCCCTGTCTCCTCTCTCCCTCCATCTCTTTTCTCCTCTCTCATCTCTCCTCTCTCCCCTCTCTACTCTCTTCTTTCTCCCCTGTCTCCTCTCTCCCTCCATCTCTTTTCTCCTCTCTCATCTCTCCTCTCTCCCCTCTCTACTCTCTTCTTTCTCCCCTGTCTCCTCTCTCCCTCCCTCTCTTCTCTCCTCTCTCCCCTCACCCTTCTCTCCTCTCTTCTCTCTCCCCTGTCTCCACTCTCCCTCCCTCTCTTCTCTCCTCTCTCCCCTCACTCCTCTCTCCCTCCATCTCTTTTCTCCTCTCTCCTCTCTTCTCTCTCCCCTGTCTCCTCTCTCCCTCCCTCTCTTCTCTCCTCTCTCCCCTCACCCTTCTCTCCCCTCACCCTTCTCTCCTCTCTTCTCTCTCCCCTGTCTCCACTCTCCCTCCCTCTCTTCTCTCCTCTCTCCCCTCACTCCTCTCTCCTTCCATCTCTTTTCTCCTCTCTCCTCTCTCCCCTCACCCTTCTCTCCTCTCTTCTCTCTCCCCTGTCTCCACTCTCCCTCCCTCTCTTCTCTCCTCTCTCCCCTCACCCTTCTCTCCTCTCTTCTCTCTCCCCTGTCTCCTCTCTCCCTCCCTCTCTTCTCTCCTCTCTCCCCTCACTCCTCTCTCCCTCCATCTCTTTTCTCCTCTCTCCTCTCTCCCCTTGCTCCTCTCTTCTCTCTCCCCTCACTGAAATGAAAAAAGTTACACAGTGGCTTAAAAAATCATGTCTCACCCTAAATCTAGACAAGACTGTATCTATGTACTTCAAAATTCGTAAAATTCCCAAATGTCCAAGCATTTTAATTGATGGACAAAAAATTGCAATTGCTGAACAGGTAAAGTATTTAGGAGTCATATTGGACTCAAATTTAGGGTTTAAAAAACACTTAAAGAAATGATCAAATACAGTTAAATATAACATGGTACAGTTTAGACACATTAGAAATTCACTGACAACAGAGGCGTCAGGAGCCTATCTTAATGCAATGATTGTTCCCCATTTTCTTTATTGTATGTCAAGTTGGTCTCAAGCTGCTAAATCTGTCCTGAGGCCACTTGAGTCACTTTATAAAAACTCATAAAAAATCCACGATAAAAAAAGCAGACGTTTCCATCACTGTCATATCCTTACAAAACATAAAATCTTAAGCTTTTACAACTTAATTAAACACACAAATCTTTGCTTCCTGTATAAGATCCTGCATGACACCGCTGCTCCTCCACTGAAAGAGTTCATCTCTTTAGGCTCAGACATAACAACACGAGCCACGAGATCCACCGAGCGGCGAGTGTAGGATCCTCAAACGCAGGACAGCTTTTGGAAACTCTGCTTGTTCCTGTGACCACTCGTCAGTGGAACATGCTGCCCACAGAGCTGATAGCAAGCACAAATGCTTACATGTTCTCACGCCTTCTAAAGAAATGGTTATTATCAAACCAAACTTGCGCTCATGTGTAGCTTGTGTGAGTGTGTGTGTGAGAGAGAGAGAGGGGGGGGGGGGAGTGTGTGTGTTTGACCACTATAAATGAGTGATATGAATGTGAGTTTTAAACAAATTGTGCATGTAAAGACTATTTTGGCCAAATGTAAACTACATCCATGAACGTGTGTTACTTTTTAATGTGATATAACATCAGCCTGCCCAGGGACTACAGGTGGAAATTAGCTCTTGAGCTATAACCTGGTACAATGCATCTCTCCTTTTGAGGTTAATGCTTACTGTGCACTGTCCTTGTCATCTTAAATAAATAAACTAAACTAAACTAAACTCCTCTCTCCCTCCCTCTCTTCTCTCCTCTTTCCCCTCTCCCTTCTCTCCTCTCTCCCCCACTCCCTCCCCTCTCTCCCCTCCCCTCTCCTCTCATTTGGATCCAGTAGGGGGCGCTCTGCTCAGATCCACCACAGAGACCGAGCTCTCAGACCGCAGTCCAAACCCGGGGAACACAGGCTCGCTGAAGGAGGAGGTGCAGGTGTGGAGGTGCAGCAGATTCCCCTGACATCGGACCAGATAAAAGGAGAGAGACCCCGCCTCGGAGTCCAGGAACACAGCGACCCGACCGGAAGGAGCGAAGGAGGAGGGGAGGATCCGAAGAACCGTCTTTTTGCTGTTGTGGTAGAAAGAGTAGCTCCCATTGCACACTCGGAGACTCCAGGAGCGGTGGTCGTCTCCAAATCCTAACTCCTCGATGTCTCCTGTCTCCTTGCGGTCCCCTCTCTCCTCTGTTCTCTCTCCTCTCTCCTTGATATCTCGTCTATCCTCGTCCTCTCCTCTCTCCTCCATTCTCTCTCGTCTCTCCTCGCCTTCTCCTCCCTCCTCACTTTCTCCTCCCTCATTGCTACCTCCTCTCTTCTCGCTTCTATCTCCTCTCTCCTCGCGGTCTCCTTCTTCCTTGATTCTGTCTCGTCTCTCCTCGCCCTCTCCCCTATCCTCAATTTCTCGTCTCTCCTCTCTTCTCTCTCCTTTCTCCTCTGTTCTCTCCCCTCTCTCCTGTCCTCTCTCCTCACTTCCCTCTCCTCTCTCCCCTCTCTCCTCTCCTCTCTCCCCTCTCTCCTCTCCTCTCTCCCCTCTCTCCTCTCCACTCTCCCCTCTGCCTCTCTGACTCACTGCGATGTCGATGCCCCTCCAGCCGCACCAGTCCACCTCCCAGTAACAGCGCCCCCTCAGGCCAGTGCTGCTCAGGACCCGACTCTGGTTCAGGACCTGCTCGGTCCCTCCGTCCTCAGAGTCCAGCCGGTGCGTCTCCTCTCGGGCCTTGGTCGCTGTCCTGTTGTCCTCAGACAGGTGGAGGTCCCTGTGAGCTGTGTTTGGATCCAGAAAAAACTCGCAGGAATCTGAGGACAGAAAAAAATGTAATGTCTGTCGCTGGATTAGGGCGGGGGTGATGTGTTCACGACTGCTGCAGTGAGAGAGACCAGAGAGAGACCAGAGAGAGACCAGAGAGAGAGACCAGAGAGAGAGACCAGAGAGAGACCAGGAAGAGAGACCAGAGAGAGACCAGAGAGAGAAACCAGGGAGAGAGACCAGGAAGAGTGACCAGAGAGTGACCAGAGAAACACAAGAGCGTTCTTCTGACTTCAAATAACGAACCAATTCCATGATAATTAGATGTAACATATTAAAATACAAAATTAACTTTAGAAAGTGTGAAAAAACCAGTGGGGGCGGGTCCCGGATCTCAAAAGTGGCCAAAATGAAGTGCGCTGACACGCTGCAATACCACCCCGGGCCTGTGGGGTTGGACCCGGAGTAAGAATTAGCCAATGCTAACATATAGCATCTTCTTACCTCTGGAAAACGTCTTTACAGGATGGTTCAAAAGTTGGCTCTTGGCCCAAAGCTCCGTTCCACATGTGTGTCAAAGCTGAGGGAGTGTTTTGGACCAGTCTAGTTTATTCGCTGTGAATTTTTGAAGTCTCTCGTTCAAATGAATGGATCTCTCGCCGGCTGACGCATTTGTAGATGCGTTTTTTCCCAATTTTCTTGTGGGCGGGACCACTCGCAGCCATTTTGGATTGCTCCAGTGGAGCACATTTTTTGGCTCATTAGTTAGAACGGCGGAGATAGGCGTGACTCTGTCCATTAATATATACAGTCTATGGAAAAAACCTTTTCAAATGTAATAAACTGAATGAGAACAAAGACTCACACTTCCTCAGACCTGGAACCATCCACTGTTCTCCAGCTGGATCCAATCTGCAACACACCAACAAGTTAGACCACAGACCAGAGACCAAGACCTGGACCAGAGACCAAGACCAGAGACCAGAGACCAGAGACTAGAGACCAAGACCAAGACCAAGACCAAGACCAAGACCAGAGACGAGAGACTAAGACCTGGACCAGAGACCAAGATCAGACAGAGGCCAAGACCAGGTTTAGAGACCTGAACCAACAACCGACCAGAGACCGAGACCAGAGACAAAGATGAGAACCAGAGACCAAGACCTGGACCCTCCTTAGACCAGAGACCTGGACCATCTATGAACAAGAGACCAAGATCTATACCAACGATGGACCAGAAACCTGGACGAGCCATGGACTAGTTACCAAGACTTGACTCAGGACTCCAGATCAGGAGAAGGAGACAGACCTGAGTTCCTGCAGGGGGCAGTGTGGATCGTCCTGTAGAGCCTTCAGCAGCTCTGAGGAACCTCCTGGATGGTTGTAGCTCAGGTCCAACTCTCTCAGGTGGGAGGGGGCGTGGCTTGGATTGTCGGGGGTGGGGCTTAGAGCTGAGGCCAGAGCAGCCCCTCCCCTCTGTGAGATCAGACATCCAGACAGCCTTAAGACACACAGATAGCGTTAAACACATGTGGACACAGAGGACACAGAGGCATCATAGGAGTCTCACATGAGAGTGTGCAGTCCACAGGGGGGGCTCTTCAGTCCAGAACACAGCAGCTCTATCCCTGAGTCCTGGAGGTCGTTGTTACTCAGATTGAGATGTGTGAGACTGGACGAGCTGAGGACTGAGGCCAGAGGACCACAGCTGCGAGGGGACAGTCCACAGCCTCTCAGCCTGAGGACAGAGACACATCAGAGACAAGAACCAGAGAGAGACCAGAGAGGTACCAGATGGGACAATCCACAGCCTCTCAAGCTAACGACAGAGACACATGAGAGACAAGAACCAGGGGGAGACCAGAGAGAGAGATCACAGAGAGAGACCAGAGAGAGAGACCACAGAGAGAGACCAGAGAGAGACACCAAAGAGGGACCAGAGAGAAAAACCCCGGAGGCGGATCAGCGAGGGACCAGAGGGTACAATCCACAGCCTCTCAACATGAAGGCAGAGACAGATTGGAGGCAAGAACCAGAGATACCAGAGAGAGAGAGAGAGATCAGAGAGGGACCAGAGGGGACAGCCCACAGCCTCTGAACTTGAGGACAGAGACACATCAGAGACAAGAACCAGATAGAGACCAGAGAGGTACCAGAGGGGACAGTTCACTGCCTCTAAATCTGAGGATAGAGACACATTAGAGACTAGAACCTCCTCAGAAGACGTTCAACACAGTCTGGACACAGGCAGGAGAGAGGAATCAGAGAGAGACACCAGACAGAGACCAAAGAGAGACCAAAAAGAGACACCATAGAAGACAGTCTCCAGCTGCAGACAAGAGACATTCAACCTTGTCTGGACTCACAGGGCTTTGGTTGAGGCTCGGACCACGGGCAGCAGAACCAAGAGAGCTGTCTCTGAGGCCAGATATTTCCTCAGGTCAAAGTCCTGCAGATCTGACTCCGAGGACAGCAAGACAAAGGACAGAGCCGACCACTGAGCAGGAGATTGTATCCAGGAGAATTCCCCTTTTCTCATGTACTTCTGTATCCTCTCCACCAGACTGAGGTCGTTCAGCTCCATCAGACAGTGGAGCAGGTTCATGCTTCTCTCTGCAGACAGACCCTTCTCATTCAGCTTCTCTTTGATGTATTCAACTATCTGGGTGTCACTTTCTGTCTGAGTCAGCAGACCTGACAGCAGCCTCTGATTGGTCGGCAGAGACAATCCAAGAAGGAATCGCAGGAACAGGTCCAGGTGTCCGTTTGGACTCTGTAAGGCCTGGTCAACAGCACTACGGTAGAACTGTCTCTTGGTCACAGAGGACTTTTGTGTCTTCAGCAGGTTCTCAGAGAACTGTGGTGTCTTCAGCAGGTTCTGTCCAGAGCTGTAGAAGGTCAGATGGACGTGGAGAGCAGCCAGAAACTCCTGCACACTCAGATGGATGAAGCAGTAGACCTTGTCCTGGTACAGGCCTGCCTCCTCTCTGAAGACCTGTGTGAAGACTCCGGAGCACACTGAGGCAGCTGCGGCGTCTAGCCCACACTCGCTCAGGTCACAGTCGTAGAAGATCAGGTTTCCTCTCTGCAGCTGCTCAAAGGCCAGTTTTCCCAGGGACTTCACCATCTCCCTGGTCTCTGGAGTCCAGTGAAACTCTGCCCCTGATCCCTGCTGATACTTGATTTTCTGATTTTTGGCCTGCACCACCAGGAAATATGTGTACATCTGTGTGAGGGTCCGGGGCAGCTCTGGTTCCTCTGTTTGTTCCAGAAGCTTCTGTAGAACTGTGGAGAGGATCCAGCAGAAGACTGGGATGTGGCACATGATGTGGAGGCTGCGGACGCTCTTGATGTGGGAGATGATCTTTGTGGCCTGTCGCTCGTCTCGGAACTTCTTTGTGAAGTACTCCTTCTTCTGCGGGTTGGTGAAGCCTCGGACCTCTGTCACCATGGAGACACACTCTTCAGGAATCCAATTGGCCGCCGCTGGGCGTGTGGTTATCCAGAGGCGAGCGGAGGGAAGGAGGCTTCCTCTGATGAGGTTCACCAGCAGCAGGTCCAGAGAGACAGACTCTGTGGGGTCTGAGACTTTAGGGCTGCTGAAGTCTAGATGAAGTCTGGACTCGTCCAGACCGTCAAAGATGAGGAGCACCTGGAGGTCTTCAAAGCTGCAGAGACCTTTGGATGGACTGAAGAAGTGCTGTATGAGTCCCACCAGGCTGAAGCTTCTGGCCTTCACAACATTGAGCTCTCTGAAGGAGAAGGGGAACAGCAGCTGGATGTCCTGATGAGCTCTGCCTTCAGCCCAGTCCAGACTAACCTTCTGAGTCAGGACAGTCTTCCCCACACCGGCCACGCCCTTTGTCAGCAGAGCTCTAATTGGCTGTGGAGAGTGTGGGCGGGGCTTAAACATGTCTTCACAGGTGATGATAGTCTCTGGAGCAGATGGTCTCCTGGGAGTACTCTCCATCAGTCTGACCTCATGTTCCTGGTTGACCTCTGAGGCCCCGCCCTCTGTGATGTGGAGCTCTGTGTAGATCTGGGTCAGGGGGGCGGAGTCTCCTGCTTTAGCCACGCCCTCAAACACTCGGCTAACCTTCTGCTGCAGATGCTTCTTCAGTTCATCTCTACAAACTCCAACAGCGCTTCCTGAATAAAGACAAACATTCGGGAGAAATCAGCTGATTTTAGAACGTCACATTCCACACTACGCTGAGGGTGGGAATGATGTCCCATTTCAAAGGGCGGAAAATAAGACCCTTTGCCATAGACCGACTGTACAATCACTAAAGTCACTTTAATGACCTGCACTGTATCTGAAAAACTCTGCTAAAGTCATTTTAACTTTTGTCCTGCACAAAACATATATTTGAACCTTTTAACATGCATGCACACTTCCTGTCTTTTTGTACACCGATTTAAAATGTCTCCATCGTGAGATCAATAAAGTTAATCTTAGCTCTATTTTGGAGCCATATTAAAGGAGAGGGCTACAAACACTCCAGGACTGAGGCTGCAGATCCAGGACTGAGGTTGTAGATCCACGTACTGAGGCGGTAGATCCAGGTACTGAGGCTGTAGATCCAGGACTGAGGCTGTAGATCCAGGACTGAGGCGATCCTGGGGGTACTGTCATTGTGCCATGAACCAGACAATAGGACAGCGGGCGAATAGCAATGAACAGACTACAGCTAATGTCATAATAATAATGCATCGGTTTTATATAGCGCTTTTCTGGACACTCAAAGACGCTTCACATGTGTCATTATTCATTCACTCCATACACGGTGGTGATAAACTACTACTGTAGCCACAGCTGCCCTGGGGCACACTGACAGAAGCGAGGCAACCAGTATGTGCCCCTCCCACCACCACCAACCATTCACACGCACTAGACTCATTCTACAGTAGGCAATGAGGGTGAAGTGTCTTGCCTAAGGACACAACGGCAGTTTGGCACTTTACAGCCGCAGCTGCCCCACTGTGGCTGGTGTTCCCAGAGGTTAAGTGTCTTGCCAAGGACACAACGACAGTAGTCAGTGGGAGTCGATGGTGAAAGTCCTGAGCGGGGCTTGAACCCACGACCTTCTTGCTCAAAGACCAACGCTCTACCAACTGAGCTACTGCCGCCCAGTCATAATGCCCCCGTCATAATGATGCATGAGAGATGGATTGAAAACCTGCAGCCACATCGGCCTCTTGAGCCCAAGCTTCATTGCCCAAGGCTCTAGGGTTGAAAGAAGAACTGTGATTGGTTCTTACGTCTTTCCAGACGCTGCACCAGCTTCTCCTGCTTCATCCTCCTCAGATGGTCCATGGTGATGCTCAGAACTTCTCTGCTGTTCTGCTCAGAGAATTCTGGGTAATCTGTGGCCAGGAGTCGGCAAATCATCTGCAGCTGCTCCTTGACAAAAGTCAGGACGTCCTCCTGCAGACGCTGAAACACAACAACGAGAGAAGAGTTCCCAGAGAGACACTGAGGATCCAGAGAAGAACACACAATCTGCAGAGACTCACCCGCAGTATGTCGTCCAGCGGCTCCTGGCGGCCCGGGTCTCTGTCAAACACATCCATAATGATCTTACTCTCAAGAACACAGAGGAACACAGCAACAATGGAACAGGCATGAAAGACATCACAGTGCTTCTATAACGTGTGTGTGTGTGTGTGTGTGTGTGTGTGTGTGTGTGTGTGCGTGTGCGTGTGCGTGTGCGTGTGCGTGTGCGTGTGTGTGTGAGTCTCACCCCTGCTCCTCAGAATGCTCTTCTTTGAATTCAACAATGATGTTTTTGGAGCTGTCACTCATCACAGACCTGGGTCCAGGTCCGGGTCCAGGTCCAGGTCCAGGTCCAGGACAAAAGGGACAATCAGAACAAGAGTTAAGCCTTACAAAAGTGAAACCTCTGAGGGCCACTTACTTCACCTGACTTATCCAGGGGCCGACAATCCAGATTTGAAAACAGTTTGGACTGGGTTGGGGGCTGTTCTGGTCTTTACATGGAATGATTAGCCCTGTTTCTATCAACCCTACTCTCTTCTAGTCCACTCTGCTCTATCAGGTCCATCTTTAGTCCCTCTTGGCCCTGGTTCTATCAAAGCCGAGTTGGTTATGGAGGAATTTCCGCGATAACAGGTTTGTTGTGGCTCAGTTGCTAGGTGACAGTAAAGTGAATTGGAGCGCATCCAGGTAGAGCAGAGTAGAGCAGAGCAGAGCAGAGCAGAGTAGAGTAGAGTAGAGTAGAGTAGAGTAGAGTAGAGTAGAGTAGAGTAGAGTAGAGTAGAGTAGGGCAGAGCAGAGCAGAGTAGAGTAGAGTAGAGTAGAGTAGAGTAGGGCAGAGCAGAGTAGAGTAGGGCAGAGCAGAGTAGGGCAGAGCAGAGCAGAGCAGAGTAGAGTAGAGCAGAGTAGAGCAGAGTAGGGCAGAGCAGAGTAGGGCAGAGCAGAGTAGGGCAGAGCAGAGCAGAGTAGAGTAGGGCAGAGCAGAGCAGAGCAGAGCAGAGCAGAGCAGAGTAGAGTAGAGAAGAGCAGAGCAGAGTAGGGCAGAGCAGAGCAGAGCAGAGTAGAGTAGAGTAGAGTAGAGTAGAGTAGGGCAGAGCAGAGCAGAGTAGAGTAGAGTAGAGTAGAGTAGAGTAGAGTAGAGTAGAGTAGAGTAGAGTAGAGTAGAGTAGAGTAGAGTAGAGTAGAGTAGAGTAGAGTAGAGTAGAGCAGAGTAGGGCAGAGCAGAGTAGGGCAGAGCAGAGCAGAGTAGGGGCAAGAAGGGCTGGTGGAAACGGCTATTTGACAGATCAGACGTTTAGTAGCATTAAATATCTGAGCACTGCAGCAAACTAATCCTAACTCTGGGATTTCAGAGGCTCCACATCGAGAGAAGAAACCAGAAGAACACACGAGGACGACCGAGATAGTCTCACCTCTGCTCCTCCTGATGCTCTGCACTGAACTCTACTAAAATGTTTTTGGAGCTGTCGCTCTTCATAGACAGAGCTCTGGGACTAGGTCCAGGTCCAGGTGTGGGTTTAGACCCGGGACAAAAGAGGCTGAAATCAGAAGAATCAAGTTGAGATTGTTTCCATTGTAATAATGCATTGGTTTTATTTATAGCACTTTTCAGGACACTCAAAAACACTATTTGTCCCGGTCTCCAAACTGGACTTTCTCTGGTCCCTGTGGTCCCCAAAGCTGACTCCCTCTGGTCCTTATGGTCCCCAAAGCTGACTCCCTCTGGTACCTGTGGTCCCCAAACCTGACTCCCTCTGGTCCCTGTGGTCCCCAAAGCTGACTCCCTCTGGTCCCTGTGGTCCCCAAAGCTGACTCCCTCTGGTCCCTGTGGTCCCCAAACCTGACTCCCTCTGGTCCCTGTGGTCCCCAAAGCTGACTCCCTCTGGTCCCTGTGGTCCCCAAAGCTGACTCCCTCTGGTCCCTGGTCTCCAAAGCTGACTCTCTCTGGTCCCTGTGGTCCCCAAAGCTGACTCTCTCTGGTCCCTGCGGTCCCTAAAGCCGACTCCCTCTGGTCCCTGGTCTCCAAACTGGACTCTCTCTGGTCCCTGTGGTCCCCAAAGCTACCTCCCTCTGGTCCCTGTGGTTCCTAATGCTCTGGTCCCTGTGGTCCCCAAAGCTGACTCTCTCTAGTCCCTGTGGTCCCCAAACTGGACTCCCTCTGGTTCCTGTGGTCCCTAAAGCTGACTCCCTCTGGTCCCTCTGGTCCCCAAACTGGACTCCCTCTGGTCCCTGTGGTCTCCAAACTGGACTCTCTCTGGTCCCTGTGGTCTCCAAACTGGACTCTCTCTGGTCCCTGTAGTATCTCTCACCTCTGCTCGTCAGGACCACCTTCATAAAAGGCTTTGGACCTGTCCCGTTGCAGAGGTCTTCTTGGCTCCATGATGTCAAGGCTGAAATCAAAAGAATCCATTGCACACTTTTGTTCAATTTTTTGCAAAACACAAAGTAAATAACGATAATGACCATAACAATAATAACAATGTCTTTGGTCAAAAGCATCAGTGTTTTTAAGAATGATGAAAACACATGCGAAGTCACTGCGGCGCTCTGTCTCCCTCTGCTGGTCACAACCCCACATTACATCAAACTACTCACCACAGACTGATATTTTACTTCAATCATGTTTAGGCTTTTTCAATGTATGTCAGCAAGAACCAGAACGAGTTGGAGCAAAACTTTGTCCATGAGCATTTCCCTATTGGGCTTCCTTGAGCTTCCTTAAGCTAGCAGGTTAGCAGCCCGTATACAGTCCATGGTTTGACTCACAGGTGTCAAGCACAAAAGAAAACAGACTGTTTTTAAAGGCCCCTAAAATGATTTTCAGTTATTACTATGAACTTACAGCATTGATGGTGAGTTATTATGAGATAGAGAAAGTGGGGTTGACGCGCACATCCAATACTGAGCAGCGTGCAAAAAAAGTCGATAATAGAAAACATGAAAAGAAAAGGAGATGACTCTGCACAGCTTTTAGCTCCCAAGAGTTTTTAATGTTATCACCACAAGATGTGACGTTTCGGGTCACTACCCTTCATCAGACATAAAGAAACCACAGGCTACACACCTGTATATATACACACAGTAATGACAGGTCACATGACTCATTCGATAGTCAAAAAATAAAAATAAACAAACAATGAAATTATCATTAAAGTGTAGCCCCCCTGAAGTGTGATGACAAAAATACTATAGCATAGAGATGGGACGGTACCACAGCATATACGTATATACACACAATAATATACACATTACCAAAAAATGTGAAATGTTCACACCATCACATATTTACATTATAATTTACAATTTTCAATATTTACACTAGTAAAAGATACCTTTACTCACAGGAAGGTCTAAAGACACACACAAAAAATTGAATCATAGAAAAGGTCTCAGATCAAAGTCTTCGTTTAGACCCTTTGGACTTAGTGTGTCTAGTGTATAAATCCAGTAGGCTTCACGTTTGAGTAATTGGGAGTTGATGAGGAGGAGACATCAACTCAATCAACTTCAGGGGGGCTACACTTTAATGATAATTTCATTGTTTGTTTATTTTTATTTTTTGACTATTGAATGAGTCATGTGACCTGTCATTACTGTGTGTATATATACAGGTGTGTAGCCTGTGGTTTCTTTATGTCTGATGAAGGGTAGTGACCCGAAACGTCACATCTTGTGGTGATAACATTAAAAACTCTTGGGAGCTAAAAGCTGTGCAGAGTTATTATGAGATACCATGTGTTATTCCTCATTTTCTCAAGAATTTTTTCAAAAATGTGAACCCGACAAATAATCATAAAGATTTTATTAAAAAAATATTATCATCAGCACGGTAGCTTTCTTTGTCCTGGGTCTACAGCCTCATTCCTAGATCTACAGCCTAAGTCCTGGGTCTGCAGCCTCAGTCCTGGATCCACAGCCTCAGTCCTGGGTCTGCAGCCTCAGTCCTGGATCTACAGCCTCAATCCTGGGTCTACAGCCTCAGTCCGGGGTCTACAGCCTCAGTCCTGGATCTACAGCCTCAGTCCTGGGTCTACAGCCTCAGTCCGGGGTCTACAGCCTCAGTCCTGGGTCTACAGCCTCAGTCCTGGGTCTACAGCCTCAGTCCTGGGTCTACAGCCTCAGTCCTGGATCTACAGCCTCAGTCCTGGGTCTACAGCCTCAGTCCTGGATCTACAGCCTCAGTCCTGGGTCTACAGCCTCAGTCCTGGATCTACAGCCTCAGTCCTGGGTCTACAGCCTCAGTCCTGGATCTACAGCCTCAGTCCTGGGTCTACAGCCTCAGTCCTGGATCTACAGCCTCAGTCCTGGGTCTACAGCCTCAGTCCTGGATCTACAGCCTCAGTCCTGGGTCTACAGCCTCAGTCCTGGATCTACAGCCTCAGTCCTGGGTCTACAGCCTCAGTCCTGGGTCTACAGCCTCAGTCCGGGGTCTACAGCCTCAGTCCTGGATCTACAGCCTCAGTCCTGGGTCTACAGCCTCAGTCAGATAAAATGAATGGGCCAACCCTTAAACTACATTCCAAACATAGTCACTGTGTGAAGTATGTGTGTGGGAAGGGACTGTGTGATTTCTGTGTGTGTGTTTGACCTGTATAAATCAGCAATATGAATTTGAGATTTTAACAGATTGTGCACCGGAAGACTTGATATTTGTTGTATAATTTGGCAAAACTGTCCGTCCGTGTAAACTAAACATCCAAGTGTGTTGTGTGTTTGTTATTTTAATGTATCATAACCTCAGTCCTGGGAGTACGGTGGAAATGAGCTCTTGAGCAATAACCTGGAACAAACTTTCCCTTTGAGGTTAATGTTTTTTTACACTGTCCCTGTCTCTTTGAATTAACTAAACAAAACTAAACTAAACGAGATGTATTCAGAATAATCTTAAACCAATCAAACTAACTAGAAAACATCAAAATCTGGTTAAAGTCAAGTCCTCTCACAACTTTTGAACGTAATCTCTGTCGTCGCACCTTCAGTAAAACATGTAGAAAACCCACAGATGTAAAAATGAGCCTCAAAAACTTTCACATGTTCAGCCTCAGGATAAATATGGTTTACTCCAGCCCTCGCCCAAAGTGAGTCCACAGATCTGGGGTCCTCATTCATGTGTGTGTGTGTGTGTGTGTTTGTACTCCTTCTACAGTCTGACAGAAGGAGACAGATGCAGACGGAGGACAAACCAGTGTGTGTTATTCCAATATTAGTGTTATTTAAATGTTGGTTATAAGAGATACTCACTGCGTCACGTCTTTCCGTAAAGTATCATACAACTTGGTGTCGCTTTACTTTTGGTCTGGTTTGTAACCGGTTCGACCAGTTTCTGAGGTTTCACTCCAGGCTGTGAATATGTTTACCTTTTTATATTTTCATTCAATTTCTTTGTGTACAGCCCTAAATCACAACAGCAGTGGTTTCAGAGGACTTTAAAAAGTTTTGGATTCGACAACAACAGATCAGAGAATCCTCAGTTTGAACACAAGGAATGCATTTAAAAAAACACATGGAGCCATTGGTTCAGAGAGAACGGTCTGAAAATGTTCATAAACTGTAAAACTGTCCAGGATCATCACTGTCCTTAGACCCACCTGCATCAAGGAACCACTCCAAAACACAAAGAAAAATCACAGAAAAGTGAGAAACCTCAAGGGCTCATTTTGAGAGAAGGATCAAAATGAGGCTGTAAACGGTTAGTGCTGATATCTAACCAGTGTAAAGAGTCTAAGCTCCTGATAGTACAAGACAAATCTTCATACGCAGATAGGAAAGGAAGGACCAACACAACTAAAGGCACAACTCCATATCAGCGTTTACAAAGCCTGCTTCCTCCTGGTATTTAACAAACAAGTCCAAGTCTTCTCAGAGCCAAAGTGAATTACAATACAACCTTTCAGTATACAATTATATATATATATATAAAGCCTAATATGACTAATTAAAATGTTAACTTAAACAACAATCCAATGTCAAGACAAGGGAGACCAAATTCAGCGGTCCCACCATCACAGACAGGAATTTTTTTGCTGTGTTTTTTTTAAATCAGTAATAAAACACAATCCAAACACACAGCTTCACAGCAGTCATTTTTATTGTTTGTTTTCTTTCTCAGATACTGACATCTCTAAACGCAGACATGTAACAGGCACTGGTGTAGCAGAAATGGTGTTTGTGACAGTAGTTCCCGTTTTGAGCGTGGATGGAGCCAAAAACACCTCCAGGTCTGTTATTCTTATTGTAGCAGGGATCAGAGCACTCTTTTGGAAAATAGAATAACATACAATTCATTTTTTTCCCCAGGATTTATGTAAATATACATTTTTGTTTTTCAATTTCTTCAGTCCAGTCACACAGTGGAGGACTCTTCTGCAGCTTGGGTCTCAGGATGAGGTGGTCCGGGTCTCTGGGTCTGGGAGGAGCTTAGGTGGGTCCACACAGTCCCAGTAGAACTTTCTGGTAATGGCCGTCTGTGTCCCGCTGAAAAACACATCAGATAATTGATTTAAAAATGGAGAAATAGATGCAGGTCTCCCATCACAGTACTAAATAAGCCGTTCCCTGCTTAACTTCAGAGGTGTATTGGGATCTGGCTTTCACAGGCAGGGGGCGCTGTAAAGTATGCCTTGATTTTGTAATGAGTATGAAAAAGAGCAAGAGAGAGACCAAAGAGACCAGAGAGAAAGGGAGAGAGAGAGACCAGAAAGAGGGAAAGAGAGACCAAAGAGAAAGGGAAAGAGACCAGAGAGAGAGAGGGAACGAGAGAGACACCAGAGAAAGGGAGAGAGAGAGAGACCAGAGAGGGGAATGAGACCAGAAAGAGAAAGAGAGAGACCAGAAAGAGGGAGAGAGAGACCAAAGAGAAAGGGAAAGAGACCAGAGAGAGAGAGGGAACGAGAGAGACACCAGAGAGAAAGGGAGAGACACCAGAGAAAGGGAGAGAGAGAGAGACCAGAGAGGGGAATGAGACCAGAAAGAGAAAGAGAGAGACCAGAAAGAGGGAGAGAGACCAGAGAGGGGGAATGAGAGACCAAAGAGAGAGAGGGAACGAGAGAGACACCAGAAAAAGGGAGAGAGAGAGAGACCAGAAAGGGGGAATGAGACCAGAAAGAAAGACACAGAGGCCAGAGAGAAAGAGAGAAACACCAGAGAAAGAGATACCAAAGATGCCCAGAAATGCTTGCATGTGAAAACAGTGATTGTGCTTAAAGGACAACTCACCCTCAAATCCACTTTTTTTTGCTGATAAACGGTATAAATGAGTGTCCAATAGTGTTGTCTACATATCCTGGTCATAATCTTGTCACTTTGGTGCAAATTAGTTGGAAGTTAGACTTTCTGCCTAAAACCGTCTGTGAGGCGCCATCTGCTGGCGACCTGTATTACTACATTTGAATTTTGAATCTGGCGCCAACACTGGCACAGAAGTTGGACCTGACGTCAGCAGCGCCCCGCCCAGAGCAATGTAAACGGCCCAGTCTCGTTCACGCCCCCTTTAGTCCTCCAGGCTACGCCCATTTAGAGGAAGATTTGAACAGGAAATGTGAGTAACGTAAGCTCCGAGGAGCGGGGGTGAGAACCACTTTAAGGAAGTCACGTAGCCCAGCTTTAATTTTCCCCTTATGTGGTGTTACATAAAGCAGGAGTGGCTCTGTGTATGAACGGAGCTATAAAAATGAAATATTTCCTTCATGTATACAGAGTTCCTGGTATTGTAGCGTGGCTGGATCTAAATGGAGCCTATAGCCTGGATGGAGCTAAACACAGCTGCGGGTCATGGCAGAGGAGGAGGCGTTACCACGATGTCCTCCTGCAGGTAGCGGTTGTACATGGCGTGGTACTCCTCCACGATCTTCTTCAGGTCCACCTCCGAGCGGCTCACCAGGACCCGGATCAGAGACGCCTCGCAGGTGCCATGGCCCTGGGACGGTGGGGAAATGTCAGTGTTGCATCGCCGTCTGTTATTAAGCAGCACTTTGGAAACTTGTTATGAAATGTGCTATATAAATAAATGGATTGGATCGCCAGTCACAGAACAGAAGGAGGGGCACAAGATGAGTGGGCAAATAAATTACATATATCACTTTATAAAGAGAAGGGGAGGAGAGAGGGGGAGAGAGCACATTTGCCGGGAGCTAGAGGAGGAGAGAGAACATTTACTGGGGTTAGAGGAGGAGAGGAGGAGAGAAGGCAAGAGGAGTGAAGAAAGAAGGGTTGTGAGAGGGGGAGGAGGAGGCGCACACTCACATCCATGGCGGCGTGCAGCTTCTCAGCAAAGAACGCTGGTGTGTTCCAACAAACTTTAACTGCAACACAACATTTTAGTTTATTAAGACGTGAAGAGGAGAAAGAGGAGGAAGAAAGGATTGGTGGAGAGAAAAGGAGGAGGAATGAGGAGAGAGAGAGGCTGGTCCAGAGAGAGCGACCACAGAGAGAGAGATCAGAAGTAAGCGACAGTGGAAGGATTAGAGGAGGGAGAATGAGGAGAGAGAGAAACCACAGCGAGAGAAAGAGAGAGCAAAGGAGAGAGAGGGACCAGTGGAAGGAGGAAGGAGGAGACTGGTCCAGAGAGAGCAGAAGTGAGAGACAGTGAAAGGACTAGAGGAAGAAGGGAGAGGAGAGATCAGAGGAGTTGAATAGAGGAGAAGGAGGGAGGATGAGGAGAGAGAGCGAGAGGTCCAGAGACCAGTGGGAGGACCAGAGGAGGGAGTAGAGGAGACACGGAGGAGGGAGAATGAGGAGAGAGACCAGAGAGAGAGAGAGAGACAGACAGAGTAGAGGAGAGAGGAGTGGAGAGGGCAGAGGAGAGAGTGACATTAGTGAAAGGACCAGAGGGAAGAGAGGAAAGAGAAGAGGAGGAGGGGTGGAGTCAGAGAGAGTGACCGCAGAGAGACCGAGAGAGTGCCCACAGAGAGAGAGAGCAGATGAGAGTGACATCGGTGGAAGGACCAGAGGAGGGAGGGAGGGAGGGAGGATGGAGAGGAGAGCACAGAGAAGGTGAGAAGAGGAGGAGGTGGAGGAGTCAGACCGATGTCGACGAGGCAGTCTTCGATGTCGCCCTTGAGCTCGGCCTGCAGGGCTTTGGGCAGGGACAGGTCGCTCACACAGGCGTATCTCTGGAACGCTGACACAAAACACAACAAACCACATCATGCGACGTCTACACAATACACACACACTCACTCACACAACCTACAGCATGATGCACCCCCCACCTTATGCGACACAGGGGACGTAGAAGAGCCATACATAACATTTTTGCATGAATCCTCCATATTCTTCTTGCCCCTCAACCATAAAACACCAGATTTGTGAAGTGAAAATAAGAAAAAACCAAGGTCACAAAAAGCACTTTACAATTTTAGTAAACCTGTAATTCCCATTCTATCCACACGGTGGCGACAGAAGAGAGACACCATCACCATCCTTCACTCACTCATTACATTTCCAACAATTGTTTTTAGAGGTAGTGGTAGGTTTTCCTCCGAGTGCTCCGGTTTGCCTGACCACTTAATAAAGCCCAAAATAGTGAGTGTGCCACAAACAGTTACTAGGGGATTTAACTTTTCGATTTTTTTATCCAAGTCAATAGGAGCCAGAGCGAATTAGAGGCAAACTTCACAATGGGCACTTCTTGACCGAGTTAGCGTGTTAGCGTGCTATTGTGTTAGCATTGTCCATCTGTGTAAAGTGTGCGGGCGCAGAGGGACTCACTCTTGGAGAGCTGGGCAGCGCTGCGAGTGGTCAGGATCTCGATGAAGGTGTCCACCTGGGTCCCGCTCCTGTTCTCCCCGGCCTCAAACAGAATCTGCAAACAAAAAGTCCCTCTGCTCATTCAGTTCAATGGGAAGGAGTCTGTAACGGGTCTGTCACGTCGGAGAGAGGCAAAGCTTAAAGTAGAGCTCATGTGCAACATCGACTACTGAGTTTTTCTCCATGTTACATCAACGTTAGTCACAGACCAGAGTCGTTTTTAAACTGTCTGTGTGGATTTCCTCCAGGTTCTCCCATTTCCCCCAACACTAAAACATGTGCAATAGCTCCCCTCCCTCTGAGACCCGAACTTTGACAACTTTGAGAATCTTTCCTGGTTAAATAAAAGGTTAATGAGATGTCATTGTACCACAAAGACATCAGTTTTCTTTCTTTCAAAACAAAAGTATTGCCCATAAATCCGTTTTTGGAATCATGCTGTAACAATGTTTAAAGAGAAAGAGGTGTTGGATGTGGGATGTACCTCTGCGTCCTTGTGGGCCAGGTTCATGTCCACCTCGGTGCTGGTGTCCCGGTTGGCGTGGTACAGGGCGAGCAGGGCCTTCTCAAAGTCTCCTCGGGCCTCACTCTTCAGCACCTCCTCCAGTGAACGGCCGTACTCTACACAACACACAACAACACTGGAATCTAAACAGTTTGTTTACCGTCAGCTCTGTTCTTTCCACAGTGTGTTGCGTTGGTAATTAGCACAGGCTCTTCTCTGGTAGAAAACTACACTGACCCTGCTCAGGACCAGGACTAGGACCAGGACTAGGACCAGCACCAGCCACCAGGGGCTTTGACTGCTATAGAATGTTGGTTGCAAAGTGAGCAATAATGGCAATATTTGAATTATAAATTCAAATGAATTGACCAGTCAAAATGACTGCTGTGGGAGGTGAAGGTAGAACTACCAAATTGAAAAAATAAAAATAAATAAAACATTTGCTCAGAGCAAAAATGTACATTCGCCCAGTGATTTTACTTACAAAACTGGGACTTTTAGAGTTAAATTTAAATGCAACACAGTTTTGTTTTTTTAAATGAAGTTTAAACAATGTTTGGCCATACGACCAACTTTCAACGACAAAACAAAATGACAAAACCAAGTCACACACACAGGAATTCACACAAACACTGCAGTAAAAACACATTCTTTGTCGTCTGTCATTTCTTCACACACTTCAACATAATAGTTATTTTCCTCCAACTCTGAGTTTGTGTCAGAGTCAGAGGTATCTGGTGTTTAGAGGAGAGGGATCAGGAACAAAACAAAGGCCTTCTCTCACTGGTGCCATGTGTGGGAGATAATAATAATTAATTAATTAAAAATTTTTATTATATATATATATATATATATATATATATATATATATATATATATATACACACACACACATAGTGCCTTGCGAAAGTATTTGGTCCCCTTGAACCTTTCAGGCTTCAAATATAAAAAAAAACATTTTTTTTCAAGAATCAACAACAAGTGGGACACAATCGTGAAGTGGAACGAAATTTATTGGATAATTTAAACTTTTTTAACAAATAAAAAACTGAAAAGTGGGGCGTGCAATATTATTCGGCCCCCTTGCGCTAATACTTTTGTAGCGCCACCTTTTGCAGCAATTACAGCTGCAAGTCGCTTGGGGTATGTCTATCAGTTTTGCACATCGAGAGACTGGAATTCTTGCCCATTCTTCCTTGCAAAACAGCCTGAGCTCAGTGAGGTTGGATGGAGAGCGTTTGTGAACAGCAGTCTTCAGCTCTTTCCACAGATTCTCGATTGGATTCAGGTCTGGACTTTGACTTGGCCATTCTAACACCTGGATACGTCTATTTGTGAACCATTCCATTGTAGATTTGGCTTTATGTTTTGGATCATTGTCCTGTTGGAAGATAAATCTCCGTCCCAGTCTCAGGTCTTTTGCAGACTCCAACAGGTTTTCTTCCAGAATGGTCCTGTATTTGGCTCCATCCATCTTCCCATCAATTTTAGCCATCTTCCCTGTCCCTGCTGAAGAAAAGCAGGCCCAAAGCATGATGCTGCCACCACCATGTTTGACAGTGGGGATGGTGTGTTCAGGGTGATGAGTTGTGTTGCTTTTACGCCAAACATATAGTTTTGCATTGTGGCCAAAAAGTTCGATTTTGGTTTCATCTGACCAGAGCACCTTCTTCCACATGTTTGGTGTGTCTCCCAGGTGGCTTGTGGCAAACTTTAAACGAGACTTTTTATGGATATCTTTGAGAAATGGCTTTCTTCTTGCCACTCTTCCTTAAAGGCCAGATTTGTGCAGTGCACGACTGATTGTTGTCCTATGGACACTCTCCCACCTCAGCTGTAGTTATCTGCAGTTCATCCAGAGTGATCATGGGCCTCTTGGCTGCATCTCTGATCAGTCTTCTCCTTGTTTGAGATGAAAGTTTGGAGGGACGGCGAGGTCTTGGAAGGAGTATCAGACCACCGCAAATCTACAGTTCAATATAATTGCTTGCACAGTTCTCCTTGAGATGTTTAAAGCTTGGGATTTTTTTTTGTATCCAAATCCGGCTTTAAACTTCTCCACAACAGTATCTCTGACCTGCCTGGTGTGCTCCTTTGTCTTCATGGTTCTCTCTGCGCTTTAAACAGAACCCTGAGACTATCAAAGAGCAGGTGCATTTATACGGAGACTTGTTTACACACAGGTGCATTCTATTTATCATCATCAGTCATTTAGGACAACATTGGATCGTTCAAAGATCCTCACTGAACTTCTGGACTGAGTTTGCTGCACTGAAAGTAAAGGGGCCGAATAATATTGCACGCCCCACTTTTCAGTTTGTTAAAAAAGTTTAAATTATCCAATAAATTTCGTTCCACTTCACGATTGTGTCCCACTTGTTGTTGATTCATGACAAAAAAAATTAAATTTTATATCTTTATGTTTGAAGCCTGAAATGTGGCGAAATGTTGAAATGCGAATACTTTCGCAAGGCACTGTATACATACATATACACATACTAGGGCAAGAGAGACAGATCAGAGACATGTCTATTGAAAGGATTGATGTTAAAGTTGATCTAGAATTAGAATATTGATACTGAGTCTGAGAAACCCCACGGACCGTGTTTGAAGACATTGGCGATCTCCTGGATCTGCTCTTTGCTCCTCGTGGCCAGAATCTCCACCAGAACATCTTCATCTGTTCCCAAACGCTGCAACACACCCTTTGCAGGTCATCGTTATCATTACAATTAAAAGCTTTAAATTGTGACTGTTGAAGATACTTCCCTATTTTTTTATAATTGGTGATTTGATTATTTGACCAGTATTGGTTGAGCTAAAAGAGCGACAATAATTAATGTTGAGTTATTTTAAATGTTTGCTACTTCCGGTTGGACGATAGTTTTGTTCTCCATTGAAGTTGTTTGAACACAAACCCGAAAGAGCTAAGCTACACAAGAACAATACAGATTTAAAAGTAAAAGTCCAAGTTACAGTCCGCTGGGTCGCTGCCCAAGCAGTGTGTGTTTAAGAGAATGACTGAATCCTGCGGAAATGGCACAACTGCAAATCTACCAAGACACGGCCGTCTGACCAAACTCACAGCTCTGCGTGCGTGTGTGTGCGCCTGTCCGTGTGTGTGCGCCTGTCCGTGTGTGTGTTACCTTGGTGGCCTTCCTGATGCAGTAGGCGTCCAGCTGAGGTGGGGTCATGAGCAGAGCCAAAGTCACGTCCTCCAGGTCCCCTCTCAGAGAAGACTTCAGAGCCTTGACCAGAGGCTGACCACAACACACAATCACTACAGCATCACAACATTTGAATGAAGGCTTCTGATTGGTCAATCCTTAAATGGCTCATATCTGGATTTACAAAAACAACGTCACAATATAAAACACCAGGATCAAAGAGAACAATAAACCATGGATTTTTAGCCCATAAATGGTGAGTGTGACAGAAACGGTTACTGAGCTGGAGGAGTTTACTTTAAAGTACGAGTCGATAGGAGCCAAACTTCATCCATCACTGTGCCCCCCAGAAGAACCCCAGTTGGGCAGTCTGTTTTCTCTGTCCAGGGTGTAAAGCTCTGAAACTCTAAGTCCAGAGCATAAACTGAACTCAGACCGGACGGGTTTTAAACTCAAACTGAAACAATTAGTGTTCAAAACCAGATTTCGGGACGGCAGACTAAACTAAAGACTAAATTCACGTGTGCTACCCAGAAATGTTCTCCATAAAACTCAATGTAAACTAAAACTGCCCGACCTCAGCTGACAGAGAACCTACAGCTTTCATAAAGATAAGATTTTAGTGTCCCTTGTCACCTTAAACTTTTCTTCATCTTAAATTCTTCAATTTTCTTCAAATCCACACTTTAGCGCCACAAACTCTGCTCGTTTGTCTCCTGCCGCTCTAATCAGCAGCGTCTAATTGGTCACTATGCTGCTTACCCCTATGTACACGTGCCAGAGAGCGACACACACATAATTGGCGCAAAGCATCATGGGAGCTCATTCACCGGGCAGAACCGGGAGGACCAGAGAAAGGCCCAAATATGGCCGAGTTCCGCTACTCTCTGTGCACACGGTGGCAAATGCACAGCTGAACACAAGCCCTTGATCTCAATAGGACGCCATCTTGGATCGCCGGGGCTTGACATAATGAGTGCTTCTCTATTGGGCTTCATGGAGCTAGCGAGTTAGCATGGTCCGCCTGAGTACAGTCTGGTCTTACCTCTCCGGTGGTGGCCTCGTACACAGCCTTGATCTTCTGCCGCTGCTCGTTGCTCCTCATGACGAGCACAGAGATGATCACGTCCTCGTCCACGTCTGCAAATCACAGACGGCACTTCTTTAAATCCATTGTAAACAAAAAGAGACTAAAGAAAATGTTGTGTGCTGCCTGTGTGCTTATACTGCTGTCCTGTATGTGCGCTGCAACATTGACATCGACAAATAAAAGGTTCCCTTTATTTTATCTTATCTCCAAAGCAAAGAAAAATGAAGTTTGGAAATGCCTCTTGGGTTTGAGATTATTACCAAGATCTTTGCTCTTGTGATTGGCAGAAGTATTATTTTCTCCAATTCCCAATGTTATTTCTGAAGCATTATTAAAAGAACAGGGATGACCAAAGTGCTCTACAAAAGTGATACTGTCAAAATGTTGCAAAAAACTAATTTAGTGAGAAAAACTAATTAAAGCATTTCTATAAATTACAACATTTCTACAATTTAAAATGGTTGAACTAAAAGGTTAGAACTCTCTCTTCTGACATCTGTGGGAATCTGTAGATCCAGGGCCGACCAGTTCACACACAACATTCACATTGGTAAAAGACATTTTCTCAAAAATCCGAGGCAGAACCAAAGCTACCGTGGGACTTGATGGCGCTCTGCAGGACCTGTGCGTCTTGGCTGGCCTTGAAGTTTGGGTACGGAGACACGGTGCCGTAGTATTTGGGCTTTGGTTTCTCCTTCACCTGCAGACACAAGAATATTTATGATTATGTGCGTTTTCTGGACAGTGTTCTAAAGTCTGTCCATTCTCCATTCCATAATATTCTCCAGAACAAGAAACACCATTGTTAGGAAGCCTGAGAAACTGCTACTACATCCACAGAAGGGGAGAGACCAGAGAGGGACCAGAGAGGGACCAGAGAGGGACCAGAGAGAGACCTGAGAGGGACCAGAGAGGGACCAGAGAGAGACCAGAGAGGGACCAGAGGGAGATCAGAGGGAGACCAGAGAGAGACCAAAGACAGACCAAAGCAAGACCAAAGCCAGACCAAAGCAAGACCAGAGTTCAAACAGTCCTCCTTTTTGCAGCTCCACAAATACCGTTCTGTGTGAATAATAGTCATTTGTCAAACACAGATGATTAGTCACACAGGCATTTTGGCACCAATGAAAATACACTGTTGAATGGAGGTGACACATTCACAGATACAAATAGAGACACACACATGCCAAGATAGAAACACACACACACACACTAGTAACATTTTGTGAACAACACACCACAACATGCAGTCTTCGTCCATCTTATAGAAAACACGTTATCTTTTGTTTAAGAAAGATCCCTGTGAGTCACTATTTGACGCTTTGGGCAGAGAGCTGATTGGCCGAGTGAGGGTGATCTTCTCTTTTTCATTTTTCTGCCTGAAAAAGCTGATCTAAAAGATGTGAAAATGGCGTAAAATGCATGAGAAGAATAGAAAACAAGCCGGGAACTACTGTAGTTTAATGCCTTGAAATTACAAATCTCCTATGTTTGTGGTTGGAAAGTTTGGTACCCTGGCTTTAAAACATTAGCAGTTTGTAGAGCCAGGTTTTTCTTTGTAATCTGTTTTGTGCCCCTTATGGAACTGTCAAGCTTTTGAGTTTAGAGCATGGAAGCTGTGATGGGAAAACCTTGCTTAAATTTGCATGTGTTTTAAATGCAAATACAGATTTTTTTCTGTCTGTCTGTCTGTGTAGTAACTAGATCTCATCCCAGTGTTGTCACTTGAAAGTTACCCCTATCCTTGTGAACGCAAATATTCCCAGACTCACCGTCACTGTATCATCATCAGATTTTCTGTCTTTGATGGCGTTGTTGAAAAACTTCTTAAAGAACGCCATGTCTCCTGGAAGAGTTGGATGGACCTAAAGCTGGATCTCTGTCCCAAAGTGTCTGCTCCTCTCTGGGATGAGGCTGCTGCTGCTGGTGTGTTGCTGGTGTGTTGCTGCGGCTGGTGCCACGCCTTGTTCCCAGGGTTAAATAAAGAGTGAGACCAGGCCCCACCCACGTGTCCCAGGTGTGCAGTCTATGGTCGGACCACATGCCAGAGGGAAGACCGACCGGTTCAGGGTTTGCTCAGACAGGCTGGGTCCTTCTGACGGAACCAGATCCATGACTGGGTTCATTCTGCTGTCGCTGCGAGTCATGAAAAAGCAAATGGTTTTCATTACAGTAAAATGTAAACATTTAGTATGTAATAATAATATCATTTGTAAGTCACTAATGGGATAGTTTTAACACATAAATATCCCAGGATGGTGTGAATAACAGACACGATGCATTTTAAACACAAAGGGAAAAAATGTATTCATTATTTAAAGGATTCTCAACAAAGAAATAATAAGTTGAATTCAAATTGTATATTTACCAAAAAAGAGACAAAAAAATAGCAACAATAATGAAAAAACAAAAACAAACAATTGTCAAGTGAGGTCTTAGGCACAGAGCACAATGCCTTTTATTCCATTTTAATCCCATCTATTGTACTCAGTGCATTTCCGTAGTAATGAAGTCATTTAAGAAAAGTTATGGAGATTTTAATTTAATTTAATTTAAATATTTTTCTGCGTGTCTTATTTTATTTTTACTTTAATAACTTGTTTGCACCGAGAGCCGATGTAATTTCCTAGATTTTCCTGTTGAAATGTAGCAGAGACGTCGTGTTTCACAGCTTCACCTTCAGCGTCCGTCACTCGTTGAGTTTTATTTTCAAATTAAAGGTGATGTCAGAAACCTCTTGTATTTCATGTTTACATCAGTGTTCATTTCCAACAATTATTTATGAAAACATGTTTGTGGCACCACCTGGAGGTTAAAGCTAAGCAGGGCAGGGCTTGGTTAGTACTGTGATGGGAGACCTCTGGGAACACCAGGAGCCACAGTGGACGGCTGCAGCTGTAAACTATTGTTGTGTCCTTAGGCAAGACACTTCACCTTCAGCTAGAACGAGTCTGGTGTGTGTGCAGATGGTTGGTGGTGGTGGGAGGGGCTGATGGCACAGACTGGTTGCCTTGCCTCTGTCAGTGTGCCCCAGGGCAGCTGTGGCTACAGTAGTTTATTGCCGCAGAGTATGAAGTGAATGAATAATGACATGTGAAGCGTCTTTGAGAGTCCAGAGAAGCGCTGTATAAAATAACAAAACTAATGTATGTACCGAAGAACCCAAGTATGCTGCATCACCAAATTCAGTCCTTGAATCCCGCTTTCCAAAAATAGCAGAAATAAACTTTTTTATCAAATATTTCTATATCTGAGTTCTACGGGGTAAACAGCTTTATAACAATGATGGGAGAAGTTTCGTTGGAGGAGAATAGTTAAACCAATGACCGAGAGCCTCAGGGATTTGAATACATTTCGTCCAATCAGGAAGCTGCAGATGCAAGTGTGGGCGGAGCTACCCAGTCTGTCTCGTAGAAATTTTAAAAGTGACATTCACTTTAAATAAAACAACAAAAGTGAAAATATTAAGCATTATCTTTATGTTTTTGTTCCACCCTAAATCACAAAGTTGTAGATTAGAAAACGTAACAGATGCGCACACCTCAAAGACAGACCATGCTTTTACACTGTTTAAAGCTGAGGTATCTAACTTATATCCTATGATTAACAGGCATTAAATGACCACAACTCACCGTCTTCATTGTCATTGGAAAAAGGTCATATCTTGCGTACTACATCGACAGAGCCCTGGGAGTCACTATTTGACTATTTTAGGTGGCTCTGAAGTAGAAGTGGTCATCAACTCATCACTTCTCCTGAATGTCAAATCAAGTGATATAACTTCAGTCTCAATAAATCGGTCTCTGCTTATAAAGCGTTTTTATTTAAATCTTGTATACATATTTACATAATAATAGGCAATTTTTGAGTAGGACCAAGATACTTTTTTATGTACTGTGATTATTTATTATTTTAATGCTATTTTATTTTGTTCATATCTTTGAGTTGCCTTGTGTGTGAAATTGTGCTATACAAATAAATTTGCCTTGCCATAAAAGGACAACATCAGCAGAGTTTATTTATCTCAGTGTTGCCAGAAAGTTATATTCCTCTTGGTACAATCTTCAGCGAGTTTTGTTATTGGCAGGAGATATTAGGAGGATGTTTTCAAGAAGGGGTGTAACTTTTTATATTTTTTGTAGGCGCTAAAATAGATGTGGCTCTTCAAAACATGACTTTGTGAAGGGCAAACTGTCAGGCCAGAAGGCTGAAACGCGTAGGCCTAATTTTAACCTCTTTTGCCATGTTTAATAAAGGCTTTAACAGATTTTTGCAGTTTTTCAGTGCTTCAGTCTTCTGTCTGAACTACAAACTATGAGCCTTTCCAACACATTTCTAATGATACTTATCCGTTTTTGTGTATCACCTTAAAATCACAAAATTGATACAGTACATAGCATTTCCTGTGTTTGAACTGTTTGATTCTCTAATCTGTGTCCGTGAAACAACTTATTTGTTAAGTCCTGTGAGTTAACTACTGCTGTGATTTAGGGCGATACAAAAATACATTGAATTTAATTGAATTGTCCAGAACTGCCAGTTATGCTAGTTAAGAAACATAACTACTGCTAATTTTGTATATATTGTGTGATCCCTGTGTTCTCTTACTACTGTCCTGTATGTGCGCTGCAACAACGAAATTTCCCCACTGTGGGACAAATAAAGGAACTCTTATCTTATCTATCTTATCGTATCTTAAATGTTTATGCATTAATGAGCTAAATGAGCTAGAAATACATAAAATCACGTCGGTCTCGGTCTCTAATTCTCTAATAAACGTGTGTCTTTAATCCAGGATGGCGTGCGTCCTCTGGTGCACCGTGAGGTGGTACGACTGTCTGAATCCTTTCCCGCACTCGCCGCAGACGTACGGTCGCTCCCCGGTGTGCGTCCGCCGGTGCCTCTTCAGCCGGTTGGCGCTCAGGAAGCTCTTGTCGCAGTCGGCGCAGGCGTACGGCTTGGCGCCCGTGTGGTACCTCAGGTGGACGGTTAGGTAGCACGACTGGGTGAACCTCTTGCCGCAGTGCCGACACTCGAACGGCGTGTGGCCCGTGTGGAAGCGCTCGTGCTTCAGCAGCTCCGCGTGCGAGAGAAAGCCCCTCCCGCAGTCCGCGCACAGGAAGGGACGCTCGCCCGAATGTGTGAGCGCGTGCCTCTCGAGCGTGGCCTTGTACACGAAGCTCTTGTCGCACTGCGCGCACTGGAACACGTCCTCTCGCGTGTGCCCCCGCTCGTGCTGCTTCATGTTGCGTTCGCGTTTAAAAGCTTTCCCGCAGAACCGGCACGCGAACGGCATTTCCTCGGAGTGGGTTTTGGCGTGCGCGCTCAAGCCGCCCCTGTAGAGGAACCCCTTCCCGCACTGGCTACACACGTGCGGCCTGTCTTTCTCGTGGATGCGCCGGTGGGAGGTCAAAGCCGACTTGTGCGCGAAGCTTTTCCCGCAGACGCACGTGTGGAGCCGGGACTCGTGCTGCTCCTGGAGGTGGGCTCTCAGACCGCGGGTGTCGGCAAAACTCAGCTCGCAGTGCGCGCATTGGAGCCTGCCGTCGTCTTTGGAGCAGAAGGACCTGGAGTGGCGGACGAACGCAGACTTCCAGGCGAAATTCTTGCCGCATTTCTGGCAGCGATAAGCGCCTGTTTGCTTGTGCGTCTTGCTGTGACGCTTGTAATCCAGCGAAGACGCAAAACTCTGGCCGCAGATGGTGCATTTGAGCTCAGAGGTGTCGTGTAGCAGCTTGTGTCTGTCCAGAGCCTGTTTGGAGGTAAACCTGCGGTCGCACTGGGAGCAGAGGTACGGTTGTTCGCCCGTGTGGGTTCGCAGATGTGCCTTGAGGAGAGAGGGAGTCTTAAATGTCCTGGGGCAGTGAGTGCATTCATGTCGTCCGTCTTCACTTCGCGACACTTCTGGTCGGTCGGAGTGAGAGGCATCAACATGTTGTTGGACTTCCTCTTCTTGTGAGCGGCGGGGCGCAGAAGCCGAAGCCACAGCAGCTAAAGACAAAGCATAAAAAGTAGCGCTAATTTTACAAAGGAATAATAAATTTAAGAAGAGCCTGAGTTTTATCCAATCAAACCAGAACTATTTAAAGCTGGGGTACCTCGTTTTGGGAGCCTAAAAGAAACGTGCTGTGAACTCTTTGAATATCTGATACAGCTTTTCAAAAAACAATTTATTTTTATTTTTTTAATGGACATACTCTCTACTCTCTACTCTACTCTACTCTACTCTACTCTACTCTACTCTACTCTACTCTACTCTACTCTACTCTACTCTACTCTACTCTACTCTACTCTACTCTACTCTACTCTCTACTCTACTCTACTCTACTCTCTACTCTCTACTCTCTACTCTCTACTCTTTACTCTTTACTCTTTACTCTCTACTCTCTACTCTCTACTCTCTACTCTCTACTCTGACCTTTTTCAGTACCTAAGCCTGGGGTTGGCCTTGGCTTTGGTTCTAAGATACAAAAGTGTAATGTAAGTAAGTAAGTAAGTAAGCTTTATTTATATACCGCCTTTCACAGACCAGAGTCACAAAGCGGTTTACAATTGTTATTTTTGGGCACTTGTCCTCTCACTCCACACAGAGATGGGAGCGGGGTCGCCGAACAGGAGGCGCATGCCAGACCTATTGTACATATTTTTAGTGGTAGGGGAAACCGGAGTACCCGGAGGAAACCTACGCAGACACGGGGAGAACATGCAAACTCCACTCAGAAAGGCCCTTGTCCGGCCGGGATTCGAACCAAGGACCTTCTTGCTGAGAGGCAAGAGTGCTATCCACTCAGCCACCGTGCCGCCACGGTAATGGAAACAAAAACAGGTAGAGTAAGTGTAGAGTAGAGTGAATCATTTGGTTTGGGTGCATGGAGAGGGCATTAGCTTCAGCCTGTTGAGTGTTCGTGCCCAGAGGCCACTCACTGTATTGCAGCCAACATTCAATCCAATCCACTTTAATTATATAATCATCAATAGATTCCAAAGAGCTGCACAATAAAAGACTAAAACATAATTAAAATTCTCACCCCTAGCTTCTCCAAAATCACATTTGCCACGACATAAACATAATCTTCATCAAGTAGGAACTTACTTTCTTCTCCACTTTTGATTGGGGCTGTGGATGCTCCATAAGAATGCTCAGAACTGAAGGAGACAAGAAAATCATTGACAAATAAACACAAGGTGAAGGGGAGTTCAATATATATACAATCTATATATATCTAATCTAAAAATAAATGTACAAAGAAGTACTTTAATAGCTAATAATAATAAATTATAATAATAATTAATATGAATAATAATGATTTTATTTATATGGCACGTTTCTGGGCACTCAAGGTCGCCTTCCAAAAGGTACAACAGTTAAAAGCTTACAGCGAAAAAGTGGACCAGTGAGAGACCAGGGATAGAACAGAGAGAGACCAGAGAGAGACAGAGAGGGAGACCAGAGAAAGACCAGTCTGAGACCGGAGAGAGAGAGACCAGATAGAGACCAGTCTGAGACCAGAGAGAGAGACCAGGGAGGGACCAGAGAGAGACCAGGGATAGAACAGTCTCTGAGACCAGAGAGGGAGACGGGAGAGACCTAAGAGAGACCAGAATGAGACAGAGAGGGAGACCAGAGAGTGACTAGAGAGCAACCAGAGAGAGACCAGAGAGCAAGACCAGAGAGCAAGACCAGCGAGCGAGACCAGCAAGCGAGACCAGCGAGCGAGACCAGCGAGCGAGACCAGCGAGCGAGACCAGCGAGCGAGACCAGAGAGCGAGACCAGAGAGCGAGACCAGAGAGCGAGACCAGAGAGCGAGACCAGAGAGCGAGACCAGCGAGCGAGACCAGCGAGCGAGACCAGAGAGCGAGACCAGAGAGCGAGACCAGAGAGCGAGACCAGAGAGCGAGACCAGAGAGCGAGACCAGAGAGCGAGACCAGAGAGCGAGACCAGAGAGCGAGACCAGAGAGCGAGACCAGAGAAAGACCAGATCGGCGAGACCAGAGAGAGAAAACTTCCATGGAGATTTGATCACACATAGCACACATACCATGGTCGAAAGCAGTGAACATGTGATGTCGCGTGTCATGTTGTCTTTTCAAACGCTCATATATTTATCGGTTTTCAGTGCAGGGATGAGACCAGTACTTTTAGCAGCACAGATGAGTGGATAAGTCTCACCTTTTCATCTCCCCCTCTCCCTCTCGCTCCTTCTGCCTCCGACTCTTCATCTGTAAACTCGCACTCTTCATCGTGGGCTTGCGTCTTCGCCCGCTCGTTCGCACTCCGACCTCGTCCGTGAGTCTCCCGTCGTTAGCCGCAACTTCGCACGATTCGACCTCTTGGCTTCGCTCTTCCGTCGGTTGGGTCGTCTTGCCTCCCTCGCCGCTCTGGACTTCCTCTTCCTCACCTCTCTCTTTGTGCTTGTCCATGTGTCTTCCCAACGCCAGTCTATGCTTAAACCTTTTCCCGCATCGCCCACAACCCAAAACCCCGTCTTGCGCGTGAGCTAGCTTACGGTGCGCGTTTCTGTCCGCTAACGAGCTAAACGCCGTGGGACAGACGCCGCATTCGTAGCTCTTGCCGGTGTCGTGCGTCTGCCGGTGTCGTTCCAAAGATTGCCGGAAGGAAAAACATCGTCCGCACTGGGAGCATCTGTGAGGCTGCTCTCCGGTGTGGATCACTCGGTGTGCGGCCAGAAACGACGCAAATTTGAAAGTTTTGTGGCAGTCTGAGCAAGCGTGTGGTTTTGACTGCGATGCCGGCGGGTCTTCGAATGAGTCCGATGCTGGTTTCTCCTCGATGGATCCGCCTTTTGTTGCGTTTGTGTGTTCTTCTGTGTCTATCACCTCTTCGTCGCGAGCGTGAGCAGGTAGCTCGATCTCGGCACATTCGCCCACGGTGACATCGTCAATGGCCACGTCTTCTACAAACAAAATCGGGGTTTGGTCTTCGTACCGACGGTCTTCGTATTGTCTCGCTCTTTTTTGAGATAGGTACGACAAGACGTGGTCGCCCATAGTAGAAGGAGGAACTGGGAAAGAAAGCTCAAGTTAGAGTTTGTTATGATAGATAGATAGATAGATACTTTACTGATCCCCGTAGAAGAAATTCAGGCGTTGTGATTAAGTTTTCAGTCCTTGTCTTCTGTCCTAAAGATTTTATTCTGAGGAAAATCAGCATGTGGCTCTGGAAGTAAGACTTAAAAATGCAATTTAAAAAAAAAAAAAAAAAACACAGCTGACAGAGCTGACCCGGGAAAGGAGATAACCTCTACTAATTGGCATGTACTGTATCGATTTGTATTAGATACATGCAGTTTTGGTTTAATTTTTTTTAGAGGCTGGTAGTGATAGTGGTGTCTAGAAAATCTGTTTGAGACTGACGTTTTGGAAGTGAGACAGCTGCGCCCCCTGGTGAACAGGTGGAAAACTGCATTGCTAAAGCTCAACTAAGTCCTGCAGTGGTACTTCTGAATAAAGAAGGGTCAAAGATTTCAATGTGGAGTAGTTAGAAAATAAGAAATTAAGTTGTTGCAAATCTACAACGTCTGGAGAGGGTTAAAAGGAGAAATGGATCACAACATGAATGGAAAAAGTCACAAGCCTGAAGCCCTGAGTACAGAGCTTCAACTTCAAACACATATAGGCTCTTTTCGTCCATGGATTGTACTTATATGGACAGAGTGTGGTCTATTGTCAACATTCAAACTAATGCAGGGCAAGGAATACTGAAAAGAGATTGGGAGAAGATGTTACCGTGTTGCTCCAAATGCCCGAGATGTTTGTGATGAAGGAGCAGATTCTTCACGTCTGTAGGTTCAGACAGACACTGGAGGAAGACGTCACAGACAGAACTCCCTCCAAGCCAAGAAACAGTCTGTTGGAAATGAATACATGTTAGTACCAGAGAAACACACTTTAGATTAACCCTCACTAATTAACAACTAAGAGATAAATAGTTTATAATTAGTTTGAATTTATGGCCTTATTTAACTTCTGACTACACTGCAAAAAGTTATAAGTCACAAATTAGGCCAAATGTATCTTAATTTGAGCAAATTTTGACTGTCTTAAAACAAAATTTCCCAATGGGACAAGCACAATTATCTTGTTTTAAAAAGATACAAGAAATGTCTCCCTTAGAATGAGAAAATAAAGTAACAGTTCTTTAAATAAGACGAAGTAGCTTTGTCCCATTGGCAATTCATGTTTTAAAATAGTCAAAATGTACTGAAGATAATAAAACATTAGATACAAGCAATTATTACCTTAAATTTTGGCTTTTTTTTTGCAGTGTAACTATTAACAGATACTTTCCCGTGTGTGGGTTCAGGTGAAAGGGTCAGGGTCAGGCCGAGGGCTAGGGTTAGGGCTTGGGCTAGGGTACACAAATTAGCATTTAGTTATCTGTTAATTAGTGAGGGATAATCAAAAGAGTCCTTCTAACCTGGTCCAGTTCTGGTGCAGGAAGAAGTTGACTTAATCGACAGAGAAACTCCCAGAGCAGCACGAGCAGGTCGCTGTGGAACTCCTCGCTCCTCGCCTCCTTCCAACACCAAAGGGACAAGTCTCAAAAATGCAATATGTAATAATTAACGCCTATTAAATAACGACTGTTTTAATTTATTTAACCATGTTGCAGTTTATTTGATGCACTGTAAAAAATGATAAAATATGAGTAGAGCCACTGCTTCAACTGTCTCCTCTCCGTGTGGTGGCTCGGGCATCTGTTTGGGATGCCTCCTGGACGTGTCTCAGAGGTGTTCTGGGCATATTCGACCTGAGAGAGACCGGAGAGAGACAGACCAGAGAGAGACCGGAGAGAGACCGGAGAGAGACCTGAGAGAGATCAGAGAGAGACCGGAGAGAGACCTGAGAGAGATCAGAGAGAGACCAGAGAGAGACCAGAGAGAGACCAGAGAGAGACAGACCAGAGAGAGACCAGAGACAGACCAGAGAGAGACCGGAGAGAGAGATCAGTGAGCGCCTGCAGAACGCCTCAGGATTCCCCTAGATGAGCTGGAGGAAGTATGTGTGGGGAGGGAAGTCTGGGATGTTGAATAAAGCAGGAAAAATTAAAAGATTCATTATTTTATGTTTGACTATTATACACCGGAGAATGACGGTAACAGCTCCTTGATTTTCTTTTTCTTTGGTGTAATTCCCATTATTGCCAGCAGATGGTGCTATGATTATAGTCTATAGAAACGCGTGCCATATTCTTGCAACAAAAATACACAAAGATATTCACTTGAAAGAAGCTTTGTCGTTCTTGCTCGTCCTTAAGCAAAAGACAAACCAAGTCTGAAAAGTCGCCAGCAGCTTTCTCCTCCTCGCACATCTAAAAACACACATAAATAGATATATTAAAAACAATCATTAAAGCACAAGAATTAAACATGTAAGAAAACAAAACCATAAAAGAATCGTACTTCCTCTGTGGGTCCAGGTGAGGGCGCCGTCTTCAGCTTTTCCAGGTGAGACTGAACCAGCGCTCGGTCGTCCTCTGTTTTGCACATTTCTAGAATGAACTGGATCCAAAAAAAGGACAAAAGTATTCAGAGAAAAGACTGTATATAGAAGGATAAAGCTAACCCGCTAGCTCAGTGAAGCCTGATGGGGAAGAGCTCATGGATAAAGTTTTGCTCCAACTCGCTCTGGCTCCTATGGATCTGCTCTCTGGTCTCGCTCTCTGGTCTCGCTCTCTGGTCTCGCTCTCTGGTCTCGCTCTCTGGTCTCGCTCTCTGGTCTCGCTCTCTGGTCTCGCTCTCTGGTCTCGCTCTCTGGTCTCGCTCTCTGGTCTCGCTCTCTGGTCTCGCTCTCTGGTCTCGCTCTCTGGTCTCGCTCTCTGGTCTCGCTCTCTGGTCTCGCTCTCTGGTCTCGCTCTCTGGTCTCGCTCTCTGGTCTCGCTCTCTGGTCTCGCTCTCTGGTCTCGCTCTCTGGTCTCGCTCTCCGGTCTCGCTCTCCGGTCTCGCTCATGGATAAAGTTTTGCTCTCGCTCTCTGGTCTCGCTCTCTGGTCTCGCTCTCCGGTCTCGCTCTCCGGTCTCGCTCTCCGGTCTCGCTCTCCGGTCTCGCTCTCCGGTCTCGCTCTCCGGTCTCGCTCTCCGGTCTCGCTCTCCGGTCTCGCTCTCCGGTCTCGCTCTCCGGTCTCGCCTCCGGTCTCGCTCTCCGGTCTCGCTCACCGGTCTCGCTCACCGGTCTCGCTCACCGGTCTCGCTCACCGGTCTCGCTCACCGGTCTCGCTCACCGGTCTCGCTCACCGGTCTCGCTCACCGGTCTCTCTCACCGGTCTCTCTCACTGGTCTCTCTCACTGGTCTCTCTCACTGGTCTCTCTCACTGGTCTCTCTCTGGTGGTAAAGCTGCACATTCACATTGGGAAAAAGTCTAAAATTTCCTGTCAATTCCTGGGCTGCCTTGCATGAACAGCTCACTCCAAATCTCCACGGCTCAACATTATAATGTGAAAAAAGAAAAGTCCGTGTGCAATAAATCAAACCTACACAGGACAACCTGAAAGGGAATAAGAGAGTGGCCAAAAAGAGAGGCCGGAGAGAGACCGCAGAGAAACCGCAGAGAGACAGCAGAGCGACAGCAGACAGACCGGAGAGAGACCGGAGAGAGACAGACCAGAAAGTGACCAGAGAGACCATAGAGAGAGACAAAGAGTGACCTGCGCTCGGAGCCCCAGTGTGAGGCGTGTCCAGTGGGAGGGCAGCAGCAGCTCTGGGACGCTCTCCTTCACCAACAGCACCAAGTCCGAGAGACTCCAGAAGGTCTTCACTTGGCGGGTCTTCACCACGAGCCACACGGACGCACTCAGCAGCTGGAGAGGGGACACCAGCAGCCGCAGAGAGGCCAGAGGCAGTGGTCCAGCTGAACGTAACACCACAACAAACGTCAAATATGGAATCAAACCCATGTCTCTGGTCCGTCGCTCTCTAAACAGTTCACTTCCATCTCTAGATTCCACATGTATGTTTAGCCTCTGTCACATTCATAGACTTCAATTTTTTCTTGTCTAGCCCCAAATCACAGCGGTAGATATCTCAGAGGACCTTACAAAGATGTCGATTTGCCAACACAGATCAGAGAATTAAACAGTGCAAACGCGAGAAATGCAAAAAACAATAAAAATACATTGGTCCATAAGAGGCAGATGACCAATGTCCATAAATGTATATTGGGAATTTAATGTTACCGATTTGAAAAAAAAGCTAGCTGGAGCCAATTTCTTCCGCTGCTTAGTTTTGGGTCGTTTTGTTGCTAAGATGGTTGCTAAGGCAAGCTGGAGTTTCAAAAAAAGTGAAAAAAAAGACCTCACTAAGCCAATGAGCTCTCCGCCCAAAGAATCCAATAGTGACTCACAGGGCTATTTTGTTTGCAAACTATGCCACAGATAATGTTTTCTAATGAGATGAAGACAGTATGCTGTGATCTGATTTGTTCACAACATTTAACTTATCTAAGACCCTTTAATAACATCGACAACGTTCAATTATTACATATATATAATAAATGTATTATATATATTACATATATATAATAAAATGAATCTGAATCGGATAAAAACCATAACACAGCTTCAACGTTGCTAGGAAATATATTAATTTGCGTAATGAAATCAAAAATAGCGTGAATCAGAACAAAAAACAAGTTAACAACAATAGCAGCCTTTATTTAATTGAGTTTAAATGATATCATAACCTACAGACTGTAAATATTATTATTATCTTATTACGAAATCTAGGTCTGCCGAGGCTACAACACTGCTGCTGTTGAACGCACACCACATGAACGAGCTATGTTCACAAACAACTAACTACGCAACGCCCTGCCGCTTCAATATGCAACAGACATTTAACTGACATAAAACCACAGACGCGCCCGGACGCTATGACATAACAACAACATTGACTAGAAAGCGCATATTTCGTGTTTTAAACCAGACCTTTTGCAGAAGCTAAAACGTCCCCGTCCACCCGCAGCGCCATGTTTGCTAGCTAAAGTTTAAGCTAGCTGTTATTAGCCTGATATAACCAAACAAAACTAATCAACGACCCAGACAAAGATGCTTACATACTTGATTTACTCGTGAAACGGGGGGAATTAATTACTGTGTGTTATGAATTTTAGTGAAATTGTCAAGGTGATTTCAGGAATAGAATGATAGCCCCGTAGTACGTCGCCATCTGCTGGACAAACGCCATAACAGCAGATAGATTGGTAATAGAAAAAATACATGTATGAAGATAGTTTGACAGATAATAATAACAATTCAAAACGACTCAAAACTACAAACTAAATCAAGTTGTGATGTAGGATGTTTAATTTCTTGTTCTTGTTTTTTTTTTTTTTCAAATGTATTATTAATTTTACACAAACAAATATACATATATACACAATTTGAAAAGGAGCAGGTAGAAGTAAAAGTACTTTTTCCAACCCTTTTTTCTTTTATTTTGTACAGTATTTCAAATGATTCAATTAGATTTAGAGTCAGACCTTACATAAACATTAGATATTTATCTTCATTATAATTGACACTCATTACCATATATAGTCATTTTAAGTAAGTAAGTAATCTTTATTTTTATATAGCACATTTTGCAGATCAGAGTCACTGAAAACGCTTTACAATATTCAGATATCAGATATTTTCAGCATCAAAGCCTCCGATCAACACCATCCATTCACTCACTCATTACATTCATACCTATCATGCATGCTTCTAGTGGTAGGGGAAACCGGAGCACCTGGAGGAAACCTAAGCAGACACAGGGAGAAAATGCAAACACCACACTGAAAGGCCTGGAGGTCGAGAGTGGGCAGTATCCACTCAACCAGCCCCACCCGCAACTTCCCTAACCATGAGGGATGTAGGTAATGTTTGTGTCCTATGCGTAATGTGTAAAAACAAATATATATACGAGAAAGAGAGCTATAGAGACTAGAGTGAGGGACCAGAGAGAAAGACGAGGGGTAGAGGGAGAGACCAGAAAGAGAGAGAGAAAAAGACAGAGAGACCTGAGAGAGTGGTGTGTCAGTCTTTGATGGTTCCCTAAAGTCTTTTCTCTGTTGTGACTTTGTGAACCACCTTCAGACTGATGCAGCAGCAGAGACTGGGCCCAGAGCCAGAAAGAGACACAGCCCAGAGACTGGACTGGACCTGAGCTCAAAACATTGTAACTTATTGTAACTTGTTAAATCACATTGTTTCTTTCTATGTTGATGCACAGAGGATGAAACGGGAAAACATGTGAATACTAAAGTTTTAGCAGTACTAACAGTAGTAGTAGTGGTTGTAGTGTAAGGTATTCATTCATTCAAGGTAAACCCAATGTGCAAGGAAGGAGGTACTTTTGCTGAATTTGGATGCAGCCTCTTATGGGAAATAGATAGCTACAAGAGATGGCCTTGTGTGGGTCACAACGACTCCGATTGTGTATCTGCTCCGATTGTGTATCTGTGTTATGTTCTTTCGAGTGTCTCTTGATGTCACACGTTTGTCTTTGATGTGTGACGTAACATTGATTATATAATGATTTCCTAACTTGGTTCTGTCTGAATAAAACTGAAGGAAACTGAATAAACTCCCAGGTTGTTCTGGTGCAAATAAAGATCCCGTCTGTGAGGCTGATTTTCCACATTCTTTACTCTCCTCTAACCCCTTTCCTCTCTTCTTTCCTCTCGTCTCTTCTCTCCTCACTCCTCTCTCTTTTTTACTCACCTCTCTCCTCTCCTTACTCCCCTCTCCACCCATCCCCTAACCCCTCTCCTCTCTTCTCCCTTCTCTTCTTTCCTCTCCTCTCTCCTCCCCTTTCTCTCCTCTCTCCTCTCCTCTCTCCTCTCTCCTCTCTCCTCTCCCTTCTTTCCTCTGCCACACTCTTTGCATGTGCACAGTGTGACCAGCAGAGGGAGCCAGACCCCCGTCTCTGACCATACATAATGACACACAAGTCTTTAACGCTGAATCTGAGTGATGATTGGAACCGGTTCGCTGGATTCCTCTACAAAACTCCCTCCTTTATGAGCTTTTAATGTTGGAAAAAAACATGTCCACAGAAAATGTCAGAGTCCAACAGATTCGAGCTTTTAATCCTGTCAGTACTGTTCCCTCTAAAACAGACCTGCAGTGGTTTTGTAACAACTTCAAGTTTGTTTAATAATATCAACATCTGGCACAAACACATCCCCCACACCCTCATTCCACTATGGACAATCAATAAACAAAAACATTAAATTCGTTTTTTTTAAATAATTTGGAACATACTCAAATGGCCTGGTCCAAGTCCAGACCTACATTTATCTGACAACCGGTGGAAAGACCTGAAAAAACACTGATCATAAACTCTCTATCTAACTATCTAATCTGACAGAGCACGGGTTGTTTTGTAAAGACGAATGGGCAAAACTTTCAGTCTCTTCATGTGCAAAGCTTGTGGAGTCTCTGTTTGGTCCCTCTCTGGTCTCTATCTTTCTATCTGTGGTCTCTCTCTCTTCTCTTTCTGGTTTCACACTCTCCTTCTCTCTATTTATTTATTTATTTGATCGGGACAACACACATTAATGAACAATCATATACAAGTTGTACACAAATTGTAAATGTGCCAGATTGTAGCAAAACGGCTAATTTACATCCGTAGTCCCGGAGCAGGTCACACAACAATAATAATACAAAAGGACAATATACAACTATAGAAATTACAGTTAGTTAAAATGAGTGCAGGACTGATTTACTTTAAAATATTTGTTTTAGTTGATTTTTAAAAGAGCTGTATGTCGGGCATTCTCTTATGTCTGTAGGAAGGTTGTTCCAACAGTGACCTCCTCTGACCGACAGCACAGTTTGTCCAAATGTAGTTTTTCTGTGTGGGATCTCCACATCTCTCAGGTGCGGAGATCTGTTACTGCTTTAGCTTTAATTAAGTTTTTAATGAAGAGAGTGGGGGCGGGGCAAGTCCATGAAGTGCTTTGTAAATAAGGCAACAGTTTTTAAAATGTATAAAGTTTTGAAAATTGAGCATTTTGTGTTTCTCCAGGATATTGCAGTGATGATATGACCAAGGCTTTTGATCCAGAATTGTAATGGACGTTTTGAAGAGGGTTTCTATGGATTTGATATGTGTTTATCCAGTGAGTGACAAGGTTGTGATACAATAATCTATGTGTGAGAAAATCATTGCGTGTAGGAACATTTTTTCTGAATTGATTGTCATAAAAGGCCTGATTTGTTTGAAGTTATGTAAATTATACTTTATTGTATTAGCCGTCAGTTTAATATGTTTTTTGAAGGAGAGAGTTGAATCCAGAGTGACCCCGAGAAACTTGGACTCCTCAACAAGGTCAAGCTCAGTGTCTCCAAAGAACACGTTGGACCGACCCAGTTCAATAGATTTTTTTGTGAACATCATTGACACGGTTTTCTTTTTATTTAATAGTAAAGATGAGCTGGTGAGCCACTGCTGTATGTCTACCAGGGCTGCTGTGAGAGTAGATGATGCCTCCGCAGTCGTTTTAGCAGGAGTAAAGAATACACAATCATCTGCGTACATTATCTCTACTGGTCCTTCTCTAGTTTCTTTCCCTAGTATCTCTCTCTTGTCTCTCTCTCTTTGGTCTCTGTCACTGATCTCTCTCTGGTCTCTCTCTAGTCTCTCTTTATCTCTGGTCTCTCTCTTTAAAGCCTCTCTCTTTTGTCTCTCTCTGGTCTCTCTTTCTGGCCTCTCTCTTGCTTCTCTCTGGTCTCTCTCTAGTCGCTCTCTCTGGTCTTTCTCTGGTCTCTCTCTAGTCGCTCTCATGGTCTCTCTCTGGTCTCTCTCTAGTTTCTCTCTGGTCTCTCTTTCTGGCCTCTCTCTGGTCTCTCTCTAGTCTCTCTTTATCTCTGGTCTCTCTCTTTAAAGCCTCTCTCTTTTGTCTCTCTCTGGTCTCTCTTTCTGGCCTCTCTCTTGCTTCTCTCTGGTCTCTCTCTAGTCGCTCTCTCTGGTCTTTCTCTGGTCTCTCTCTAGTTTCTCTCTGGTCTCTCTTTCTGGCCTCTCTCTTGCTTCTCTCTGGTCTCTCTCTAGTCGCTCTCTCTGGTCTTTCTCTGGTCTCTCTCTAGTCGCTCTCATGGTCTCTCTCTGGTCTCTCTCTAGTTTCTCTCTGGTCTCTCTTTCTGGCCTCTCTCTGGTCTCTTTTTCTGGCCTCTCTCTTGCTTCTCTCTGGTCTCTCTCTAGTCGCTCTCATGGTCTCTCTCTGGTCTCTCTTTCTGGCCTCTCTCTGGTCTCTTTTTCTGGCCTCTCTCTTGCTTCTCTCTGGTCTCTCTCTAGTCGCTCTCATGGTCTTTCTCTGGTCTCTCTCTAGTATCTCTCTCTGGTCTCTCTCTAGTCGCTCTCTCTGGTCTTTCTCTGGTCTCTCTCTAGTTTCTCTCTGGTCTCTGTCTAGTCTCTCTCTGGTCTCTCTGGTCGCTCTCTCTATCTCTGGTCTCTCAGTCTCTCTCAGTCTCTGTTCTCTCTGGTCTCTCTCATAGATGATCTTGTCCAATAGAACAACACTGTATCTTTGTAAATCTAATCAGAGTTAAATATTGCTCCGGGGCAAAAAACAAAACAGTCTTGTTCAACACTAATTTCGAAAGCTGCTTATTTCCCACAGACTCACATCGTCTCCTGCTGAAAAACTGTTACACAACTCTACAACATGAACACAACCCACCGTTAAAGGGACACGTACAATGCTTCATATGTGTCTTTTCAAAGTTATCCCAGAGTTTTCCTGGGGCTTCTCGTCTCCTCATTAACTGTTCTCTGAGACTTTGCCCTGAACGGATTCTGTGGAAATCTGACAGAAATCCTGGAATCGGCTCAAACTGTGATTTTAATTAGGGGCTCGCTCACAAAGGCAGGATTACGGCCGCGCTCACAATGGAGCCCTTCTTGTCCACAGGTGAGGAGATAATCAGGCGCAGAGTGTTAGCTGAGGTTTGCAGAGAGAGTGTGTAGATGGACGATGCTAACGCGCTAGCTCCATGAAGCCCAATGGATGAAGTTTGGCTCCAACTCGCTCCGGCTCCTGTTGACTCACATAAATAATAAAACTCCTTTATCTCAGTAATAATTTATGTCATATTCACTATTTTGGGTTTAAAAACTCTCTGTGATCCTCATGTTTATGTTTTGATATTGTCTTTGTAAATCCAGATACAAGCCGAATAAGGATTGACCAATCAGAGGCCTTCGTTTGTGGGGGAGACTCGAGCTAGCTTTAGCAACACAACGGCAGTTCTTTACTTTTGTCCTGAAGCAAAACTTTTAGCAGCATTTACAGATATTTCTCTATGTATTTTTTGTGTGCACTAATTTAACAAATGCTAATTTAGCTAATTGTACTTTATACAGCGAGGTCTCCCATCACAGCACTAACCAGGCCCTGTGTGTGTGTGTCTGTGTTTGTTTGCGTTCCTGTATGTGTGTTTGTGCGTCTGTCTGTCTGTCTGTGTGATTGAGTGTGTCAGTCTATCAGTCTGTCTTTGTGTATGAGTGTGTCCGTCTGTCTATGTGTGTCTGTCTGTGTGTCTCTGTGTGTGTGTCTATCTGTGTGCGTGTGTGTGTGTGTCTGTCTGTGTAAGTGTGTCTCTGTGTGTGTGTCTATCTGTGTGCGTGTGTGTGTGTGTCTGTCTGTGTAAGTGTGTCTCTGTGTGTGTGTCTATCTGTGTGCATGTGTGTGTGTCTGTCTGTGTAAGTGTGTCTCTGTGTGTGTGTCTATCTGTGTGCGTGTGTGTGTGTGTCTGTCTGTGTAAGTGTGTCTCTGTGTGTGTGTCTATCTGTGTGCGTGTGTGTGTGTCTGTCTGTGTAAGTGTGTCTCTGTGTGTGTGTCTATCTGTGTAAGTGTGTCTCTGTGTGTGTGCCTATCTGTGTGTGTGTCTGTGTGTGTTTGTGTGTGTGAGTCTGTGTGTGTGGGTGTGTGTGTGTGTGTGTGTGTGTCTGCCTGTGCGTCTGTGTGTATGAGTGTGTCTGTGTGTGTGTGTGTTCTTTCTGTGTTAAAAGGGAAATATCAGCTTGTTACTGACGCCGCCTCTGGCTCAGATTCTTGGACAGCGTTTGAACTAATCCAGGTTTAACACGAGTCTGAGCTGAAAGGTAGAGCTCTCACTCCTCACGATACAGACTCCTCAGAGTCTGGGTTTCTCTTTATTAAACTTCAACCATCAAACTCCTGGAAAAGTCAAACATGTACAGTGTCACCGACAATTCAATGGAGTTTTGTACAGCCCTAAATCACAACAGACGCTTTGGAGGAATTTACAAAGACCAGAGAAAGAAAGAAACCAGAGAGAGAGAGACCAGAGAGAGAAAGAGACCAGAGAGAGAGAGATCAGAGAGAGAGAGAGACCAGAGAGAGGGATCAGAGAGAGAAAGAGACCAGAGAGAGAGAGACCAGAGAGAGAGAGAGAGACCAGAGATAGGGTCCAGAAAAAGAGAGAACAGAGAGAGAGAGAGACCAGAGAGAGAGAGATCAGAGAGAGACCAGAGATAGGGTCCAGATAAAGAGAGAACAGAGAGAGAGAGAGACCAGAGAGTGACCAGAGAGAGATCGGAGAGCGAGAGACCAGAGAGTGACCAGAGAGAGACCAGAGAGCGAGAGAGACAGGAGAGAGTGACCAGAACGAGGGACTAGAGAGAGAGAGACCAGAGGAAGAGAGATCAGAGAGAGACCAGAGAGAGAGTATAGAGAGAGGCCAGACAGAAACTTGGTGAGACCAGAGAAAGAGAGACCAAAGTGAGAACAGAGAGAGAAAATAACATGACCATAGTTGACACGTTCTGACAAAGAGGATGTGGAACAAAGACAGTTTTTGTTTGGGATTGGCTCAGGGATTACAGGGAGATTAGCTCCAAACTAAGACTAAATCTGACTTTTGACACTCATGATTTCCTTTGTCCGTTGTTGCGAGGCGACCATTATGTACCATCGGCCCCTCCGACCACCACCAACCGTTCACACACACACCACACTCATTCTAAATTGGCAGTTTGGCACTTTGCAGCCGCAGCCGCCCCACTGTGGCACCTGGTGTTCCAAGAGGTCTACCATCCCAGTACTGACCAGGCCCTGCCCTGCTTAGCTTCAGAGGTTGTTATGATGTGATTAGATTTTCATGATAACAACCATGAAGTGCGATTGTGTTTTCTGGTGTGTGTCCTTTGTAGTCCCCTGGTTTCTCGCCGTCACGGATCCGCAGATGAAGTGCTGAAGTCGCCAAAAATCCTAAAAGCTTTTCACTTTGGTGCAGATTCGCTCTGACACTGATAAAAGAAGCGCCCGGTCACGCAATTACCGCGGTTCCAAGTCATCGTTTACCACTTCAGACGCCGACACAGGAAGATAACGCAACTGGGAAGAAGCCAAATGTTTAAAAAATGATAATAATCAAATATGATGTAGTTTCAGCCTTTTTTGTAAACACAGGGACCATGGGGTTAGCCTCAATGTGGAAGAAACCTATTTGAAGGTAAGCTAGCTGGAGACAATTTCCTTATATGGGCTTTTGTTCTGACAGGGTTTGCTTTGCGCGGTAACAGGGGCAGACGTGTTGCTAAGACGGTTGCTAAGGCATCTGATTGGTCCATTCTTATATGGCTCATAGTTGGATTTACCAGGACTCGTTCACAATTTACACACCCAATTGCCAGAGAGAGAGAAGAGAGAGCAGAGCGAGAGAGAGTAGAGGGAGGGACCAGAAAGAGAGAGAGAGTAGAGGGATGGACCAGAGAGAGAGAGAAGAGAGAGCAGAGAGCAACCAGAAATAGACCAGAGAGAGAGAAAGAGAGCAGAGAGAGAGAGACAAGAGAAAGACCAGAGAGACCAGAGAGAGATAGACCAGAGTGAGACTATAGAGAGGACCAGAGAGACCAGAGAGAAAGAGAGAGAGACCAGAGAGAGCAGTGAGAGAGAGATCAGAGAGAGAAAGACCAGCGAGAAAGAGAGCAGAGGGAGGGACCAGAGAGAGAGAAGAGAGAGCAGAGAGACCAGAGGCAGAGACCAGAAATACACCAGAGAGAGACCAGTGAGAGAGAGAGGTCAGAGAGAGAAAGAGAGAGGAGAAAGACCAGAGAGTCCAGAGTGATACTAGAGAGAGAACAGAGAGTCAAGAGAGAGAGAGATACCAGAGTGAGACCATAGAGAGGACCAGAGAGACCAGAGAGAGATAGACAGAGTGAGACCATAGAGAGGACCAGAGAGACCAGAGAGAAAGAGAGAGAGACCAGAAAGAGACCAGAGTAGAGTTCTAAACAAATTTCTCTGCTCTGAGGGAGGACTGTGAGCTGCATGTTTTTTTATGAATCCAGACTTTTAAATCCAGCCTCTCTCTGGAACTCACTCCAACCAATCAGAAGCTCAGACTCATTACAGAACTTAAATCTCTTCTCAAAACCCACCTCTTTCAGCCTTTCCTTCATTTTGTTTTTCAATGTTTTCTGTATTTCTATGTGTTTTGTAAGGCGTCTTTAGTATCCAAAAAAGCGCTATATAAGTTTGATGCATTTTTTTTATTATTATTATTATTATAGATCTTAGAATATTTGTATTATGTCCAGTATTTTAATGTCATTTTTACTGCCCAATAAACTGAATTTGAATCTGATTTTGGTCTTGCAATAATTAAAATTGAAAAGTTTCTAGCAGGATAGTTCTGTTTTTTTGTCTGTTCCTAAATGTCAGATGTTATTTCCGACTCCCGGTGGACGGAGAAACAGCCACACACGGAAAACCACAGCAGACTCTGAGAAAGTGCCCATTTTCTCTGCTTTTAACCCGTCTCTAAACTCACAAATATGTCTCTTTGGTTTCCTCTGGTGGCTTTTAACAACACGTTTTGCTTCGGTTTCAGATTTATTCAACAACTTTGGACATAACGGACGTGAAAAAATGAACTTATCTCGGCTTTTGACCGTGCTGTAGTTTCCTTTATGTGTTTGAAGCTGTTGAAAAAAATCCATAGATTGCTAGTTTCATTTGTGGTCAGAGTGAAAGTGCATGGACTTTATTCTTTAATATTATTGTTTTTCTGCTATAAGTATGTTAAATCGAGGAGTAATGCTGTGTCCACTCAGGGCAACAGTGGGAAAGGTCGGCGTGTTGTCTAGACCCGTGTCGGTTAATTTAGGGGTCAAAAACAAATCTCAACTTAAAATATGTCATCTAAAGTCACAGCGCAGTGCAGCAAGGACCAGAGAGACCAGAGAGAGAGAAATACCAGGAGACCTGAGAGAGAGAGAGAGAGAGAGAGAGAGAGAGAGAGAGAGAGAGAGAGAGAGAGAGAGAGAGAGAGAGAGAGAGAAAGAGAGAGAGAGAGAGAGAGAGAGAGGAGAGAGAGAGAGAGAGAGAGAGGAGAGAGAGAGAGAGAGAGAGAGAGAGAGAGAGAGAGAGACAGAGAGAGAGAGAGTGAAATACCAGAGGGAGAGATACCACAGAGAGATGACAAAAAGAGAGAGACCTAAGAGAGAGAGAGAGACCTGAAAGAGAGAGAGAGCGAGAGATCAGAGAGAGAGACCAGAAAGAGAGAGAGAACAGAAAGAGAGAGACCTGAGAGAGAGAGACCAGAAAGAGAGACATTTGAGAAGAGAAAGAGACCTGAGAGAGAGAGAGCAAGAGACCAGAAAGAGAGACCGTAGAGAGAGAGAGACCTGAGAGAGAGAGAGAGCAGAAAGAGAGAGACCTTAGAGAGAGAGCTGAGAGAGAGAGAGAGAGAGAGAGAGAGTGAGAGAGAAAGAGAGAGAGATCTTAGAGTGAGAGAGAGAGATAGAGAGAGAGAGCAAGAAACCAGAGATAGAGAGACCCGAAAGAGAGAGAGACCCTAGAGAGAGAGAGAGAGAGAGTCAAAGGAGAGAGCAGACAGAGAATCAGAGAGCTAGATTAATGGTGAGTTTGACACAAACAGTTACTGAGTATTTCAATCTAAGTCAATAGGAGCCAGAGCGAGTTTTAGTGCAACTTCGTCCACGAGCACTTTCCCACAGAGCTTGGATTGAGCTCGCGGGTCAGTATCGTCGTCTGTGTGTGACACGGCTCGTGACGCAGCAGAGAGACCACGTGACTCGCTCCAAAAGCAGCTCGTGTTTGAATGTGTCCCGCAGACCTCCACAGCGGACCGGGGCAGAGCTGAGGACACACCCGGGGACAGAGCACCGTCCTCCCGCAGCAGCCTCCACCACGCTCCGGTGTAACGGCCCGAGCATAGTCCCGAGGAGCAGAGTGCGCGGTGCGTTCTGCGGGACTGCGTCTGTCGGTGGTCCCGCGCTCTGTTTACATCCGAGAGACCGATCCTGCAGCACGCGCACACAAAACAACCAGGAGAGGACCAGGAGAGGACCAGCAGAGGACCAGCAGAGGACCAGCAGAGGACCAGGAGAGTACCAAGAGAGGGGAGGACCGGTAGAGGACCAGGAGGGGACCAGGAGGAGACCAGCAGAGGATCAGGAGGGACCAGTGGAGGACCAAGAGAGGACCAGGAGAGGACCAGGAGAGGACCAGGAGAGGACCAGGGGAGGACCAGGGGAGGACCAGGGGAGGACCAGGGGAGGACCAGGGGAGGACCAGGGAAGGACCAGGAGAGGACTAGGAGAGGACCAGCAGAGGACCAGCAGAGGACCAGGAGGGACCTGCTGAGAACAGGGACCAGCCCCGAGTCTATAGTGAGACCAGCCTAGGACCAGGGACCAGAAGAGAGAGAGAGAGTCCAGAAGAGAACCAGTGACCAGCCGAGGACCAGGAAGAACCAGCTGAGAACCAGGGACCAACCTCGGGCTTTAGAGAGACCAGCCGAGGACCAGGGAGCATAAGAGGACCAGGAGGGACCACGCGAGACTGGGTTCAGGATCAGCGGGGAAGGTATGGAGTAATATAATACTGTAGGATGAACGTGTAATCTATTCAACCTACAATTTCAAAGCTATTTTATGGCCTCTGTAACAACTGTAGATCAGATTTTTCAGACAAAAAAGTGAACAAGTAAAGTTTGCTGAATATATCATGTGTTCTACTGAGATGAAGACAAAGGTGTGGTCTGATTGGTTCACAACATTTTGCTTTTACAATAATCTTTCTATTATTATTTCTCTTTGTGTCATGAAATTATTATTCATGACACAGAGAGTTTGGTAACAGCTCATTGCAGTGTTTAGGACTTTCCTGATCCGCTCCAAATGTTTCTAGAACATTCTGCTGTTTGTTTAGAAGAACTGGAAAGTCTGTGTGTGAAAAAGTTAGTTTTCAGATGTAAATATGTAATGGGTCTGAAATACAGTAGTTTGTGTGGCCCTACTCTCTACTCTACTCTATTCTACTCTACTCTACTCTATTCTACTCTACTCTACTCTACTCTACTCTATTCTACTATACTCTATTCTACTTTACTCTTCTCTATTCTACTCTATACTCTACTCTACTCTACTCTACTCTATTCTACTATACTCTATTCTACTTTACTCTTCTCTATTCTACTCTACTCTACTCTACTCTACTCTAGAGTACTCTTACTGAACTCTACTCTATTTTATTCTACTCTACTCTACCCTACCCTACTCTACTCTACTCTTACTCTACTCTACTCACACTCTACTCTATCCTACTCTCCTCTCTACTGCTGCTGGCACTAAAGTGTTATAACTGACCGTAATTGGCCAGAGTGCTGCTGGAATTCATGGTTTCCCAAGATACTGGTTTGTTGTGTGTAGGTTGCTCGGATACGGTACCAGATACTAAAGCGTAATGGAAACACATCCGAGAGCCGCGTATAGAGAGGAGTAGATTAGACTACAGTAGAGTAGAGTAGGGCTGGTGGAAATGAATCACTCTTTCATGAGGCCCAGAGTTTGAAATTGTAGTGTTTGGACAGAAGGGACCGGGGGGGGGGTGTCCTAATACTAAAACCAGCAAAAAGCAAACAAAAAGATTTTTTTCAATCTATTTCAATCTAGAGAGACTCAAATAGATTATGTTTTATTGGTTGCCATAGTAATTGGTCACTATATAAACTAGCAAACAAGTCTCTGCACGATTGACATTTTTTGCTGCTGTACAAGTGGTTATGATTTGGCGCTCAGATCCCGGCAGAGCAGAAGGGTTGAAGAGGAGGTAATGGGGAGGAGGAGGGTTGCTGCACAAATGAAGCCTTTCTGCACGGTTTGAAAGCTGGATTCAGGACTGTGTTGAAATACTAGCACTGGCAGATGAGTGTGATTGCTGATGCGGCGCAGCAGCAGGATGAGGATTGAGAACAGGGAGCTTGTGCACACATAGTTTCCACTCTTCCAGTTTTAAGCTTAACCTTCAGAGAGAGAGAGACCAGAGAGAGACAAGAGAGGGACCAGAGAGAGACCAGAGAGAGACCAGAGAGAGACCAGAGAGAGACCAGAGAGAGACCGAAGAGAGACCGAAGAGAGACCGAAGAGAGACCGAAGAGAGACCAGAGAGAGACCAGAGAGAGACCAGAGAGAGGGATCAGAGAGAGGGACCAGAGAGAGACCGAAGAGAGACCAGAGAGAGACCAGAGAGAGACCAGAGAGAGACCAGAGAGAGACCAGAGAGAGACCAGAAAGAGACCAGAGAGAGGGACCAGAGAGAGACCGAAGAGAGACCAGAGAGAGACCAGAGAGAGACCAGAGAGAGACCAGAAAGAGACCAGAGAGAGACCAGAGAGAGACCAGAGAGAGACCAGAGAGAGACCAGAGAGAGACCAGAGAGAGACCAGAGAGAGACCAGAGAGAGACCAGAGAGAGACCAGAGAGAGACCAGAGAGAGACCAGAGAGAGACCAGAGAGAGACCAGAGAGAGACCAGAGAGAGACCAGAGAGAGACCAGAGAGAGAGACCAGAGAGAGACCAGAGAGAGAACAGAGAGGGAGAGACCGAAGAGAGACCAGAGAGAGACCAGAGAGAGACCAGAGAGAGACCAGAGAGAGACCAGAGAGAGACCAGAGAGAGACCAGAGAGAGACCAGAGAGAGCCAAGAGAGAGACTAGAGAGAGAGACCAGAGAGAGAGACCAGAGAGAGAGAGAGACCAGAGAGTGATCAGAGAGAGACACATTAGAGAGACACCAGAGAGAGACCAGAGAGAGAGACACCAGAGAGAGAGTCAAGAGAGAGACCAGAGACAGACTAGAGAGAGAGAGAGACCAGATTCATAACTGTAAAGCTTAAACACCGTCCTGTAGTTTACGGGGTGTGGCAGAGCTCGATGAGTGAGGGGTGTGGATGTGGGGGGAGAGGGGGAGAGGGGGAGAGGGGGGAGAGGGTGAGGCAGGCGGCTGGTGATGAATCTCCTAATAGAGTGGAGCGAGAAGTGCACAGTCAGCAGCGCTTTAATCAGCCGGGTGCTCGCACACGCAGGGTCCCAGGACACAGCCAGAGAGAAGGGAGAGAGAGAGGGGGGAAAGAGAGAGGGGAGAGAGGGAGAGAGGAGAGAGTGAGCGAAAGAGAGGGGGGAGAGCATAGAGAGGTGAGAGGTGGGAAATAGTGTAGAGGAAGGAGAGAAGACAGAGGGGTGAGAGAAAGGAGAGGAGAGAGAGAAGATAGAAGAGAGAGGAGAGATAGAGGGGAGAGGTGAGAGAAGAGAGTAAAGAGAGGGAGGAGAGGGAAGAGAGAAGGGGGAGAGAAATGAAAGGAGAGAGGTTGGAGACAGGAGAGAGAGAGACCAGGGGTTAGAAACAGGAGGGAGGGGCGAGAGGAGAGAGAGAGAGAGAAGAGAGAGAGGAGGGAGAGAGGACATCCTTACTCGCACATGTGTGATGGGAGCAAGGGCAAAACACACGTGGACGAGACAACCAGGGAACATACCAGAAGAAACACAAAGCAAACTCATCGCGCTGCGGTACAGGTACGTGTGCGTGGACAGAGGTTCTCAACACGTGGTGCGAGTACTGTTTCAGAAGGGTCCGATGGTTTATGGTAGTTCTGGTGGAGTTTGATTATATTCTATACATTCAGTGCCTGGCCCATAACTTGGGCCATGCAATTGGAATGGAGCGATACTTTTGTTTTATAAGGCAGACAGCAGCGTGTAAAGAACAAGTTTGACAATGTTTTTGATACATTTGACGATGAACTTGTTGTCGTCCAGTGTAATGTGTAAGTTAGCATTAGCGACACTCACTGTATGTGTCGCATCAGTTGCATCTTTCATTGTCCCAGTCAAGTAAATAAGTAAATGCAATTCTCTCTGCTCCTGGCTGCAGACGGACAATGCTAACCCGCTAGCTCAACTCGCTCTGGCTCCTATTGACTCACATGTGAAAGTAAACTCCCATAGCTAAGTAACCGCTTTTGGGCTTAAAAATCTGTGTTTTATTGCTCTCTGTGATTCTGGTGTTTATGTTGTGATACCGTTTTTGTAAATCCTGATATGAGCCAGAGAAGAATTGACCAATCAGATGCCTTCGTTCAACTCCAGCTTGTCTTAGCAACCGTCCTAGCAACATGTTCGTCCCTGTTAAATAAGAGCAGAGAGTTTTGTTTAAAAAGTCCCTAAAATTTGGGAAAATCCTCCAGTGGACCTTTGAGATTTCAGATTGTATTATTCATTATCAATATTTGTTATTGTAGTAACAACAATGCACTGACAAATAATTACTGCACCCATTATTAGGCTCGTTCACACCAATATATCATACATTTTTCACCAGGGGCCGCTTAAAGGAGTAGCTAGCTGCCGTTGACATCCCGGGAAAGTAGCTCTTCGGGTGGAAAAGGTCTACAACTATGTAAAAGATAGCATTCGCAACATTTTACACGTACAAGTCTCTTTCTTTTGGGGCTTTCCACATTTATTATTTACGAGACAAAAAAGTCAGGTACCCCAGCTTGGAAACCCGGACACACACAGAACAGTGCGTTGTAAAAAGACCTCGTTATTGCATTGTTTGACCGTAGCCGCTGCGTTGTGTGTTGGACTTAAAGGGTCTTAAAGGGTTAAAGCTTAGCCCCCGACACAAGCTGATTACCTCCAGGACAGCAGCAGGCACCGGGGACTGTGGGTAAAGAGTGAGGAATATTCATATCTATAAGATTTTTAAAGCAGCAGAAATGTGACTAACAAATAATGAGGCTAATTATAATGGTTGTACAATTGGCCGTGAAAACCTAATGTTCCTTGTTAATTTTGTGTTAATGATATATGGTAAATAGAGATCTATGGCCTACTCAAGTGGACAAACGCAAGACAAAATAATCTGGCGTTGTGTGTCCGTGCTATGTTCTTTTGATTGTCTCTTGATGTGACAGGGAGTTCTGACTGAAGGAAACTGAGAATAAACTTTGGTGTAAAGATCCCGTCTGTGAGGTTGATTTTTAATAAACAAGGAGCTTTTTGTCTTTGTTTTTCACATTTTGTGAGATTTGTTATGAAAATCTATGTTTCAACAGTCTTGTAGTCTTGCATCACCATCTATAGTTTTATCAAATTCATTCATTTCAAAAACAAGCTCAGCCAAAACCAGTCCAGGACCATTCCAGGACCAGTCCAGGACCAGTCTAGGACCAGTACTGAACTGGTCGCTGAATAGAAGTGGTAATGTTGTGTGGGTAATGTCTTTGTAGCAGTTTCCAAAGTCTCTGCTGCTGTGAGATGAGTGGTCGGTCGGAGCTGGCGGCTGCGGCTGCGATGGCTGCGCTTCTGTGCACTTGGCTAAACCTCGCGCTGCTGACAAAGTCCATTCGAAAGTAATCGCTAAAAACACTCTCAGTAGAACTGCGGAAAACACGTTTCACCGAACGCAGCTTAAACGTAGGTCATGAATAATGGAAGCTGGACACAAAAACAATAATTGAAGAAGGAGGAACGCTGCACTTTAAAGCTGGGGTACCTGACTTTCAAAACAGTTTGCTTCTCTGTC